TTGTTACGCCCTTGCAGCTGGAAGTGAAACCCACAAGAGCACAGGCAATGGTTCTTCAACATGGGTACCGTTTGCTGTGGGCCTTTGCCCATCAGTCTCGGACGTGGCCGGAGGCTGTTGTTGCAAGATTTCAGATCGCCAAAAGGTTGCCAATTCTATCATGTTGCGCTTCCCCTAAGCGCACGGAAGGATCTATCACCTGAAACATTGGACCTCGGTGACGGAGCTTCCATCCTCTAAGAGCGAATCCGTGCGATCTCGCCTGCTCTACTCCAGTAGACAATGAAACATATTCAAGGGGACTGTCAGCCGCGGGTTTGCATGCAACTCTCATTTCGAGCCAAGTATCCTTCCTTTTTGGCCAAATATCAATCCCAAACATGTTTCAACCCCATAAGTTCCGATTGCGAATGGCGTGGACTGGTAGACGATCCGGATAGACAAAGTTTCGGTCGTTTCAAGGCGAGCAATGAAGCTTGCACACCTTTTGGCAGTGCCCCGAGTTCCGGAGTGGCACAACAAGACGCCCTCGAACAAAGACACACCCACTGTTGACCCAGGGTTAATAAACGCGTCCCATGGGCCCCCTCCAAAAGTGGTCTGAATCCCCACTAAAAGGGAACACCTTCTATTAATAGGGGGGTTAACTTCATCCGGGGTTAACATTATAAGGGTAACTAGAACCCACTGGGTCACATGGTCACATGATAACACTCCCCCACACCAAACCTTGAGAGTTGGGGAAGGAGTTGTGTCCGGCCTCCAGCTGTTGCTCAGCTTGCCCCCGCACCAGGTTGCTCGGGGACCTTGGTCTAAAAAGCACCAGAAGCGCCAGTGAGCCAAGGGCCGAAAGAAATACCTGGGGGATACCCTCCCTTCCACTCACATGACACCTGTGGGAGGGGATCCCCTTGTAGGGACCCCCTGTCAGAGTTCCATGGGAGTGAGGGGATATTCAGATTTGAAAAAACATATTGTGATATCTTCCGAGAAGGCCCCAGGAAAAGCTAACCGAACTTTATGCATGCCACCAACATGGTCTTAGGTAGAAAGTCAACATGAAGGAGTCAGGAAGTGACGAGTTATCTCTCACTTGCCCTGCCTGGAAGGTGGACCCTAGAAATAAACATGGACCAACATGAAAAAACAAAACAAAAGGTCGAAAGCTTGAGGTTGGACGCAAATGTGATGTTTTCTGAGTTCTGATTGCAGTAAAGTGAGGGGCCCCATGTGCAACCAAGCTGGCCTACAAAGGACACCTACAATTGCTCGGCAGAATCCGATTCGCCAGGCACCAGCTCGGACTGGTGAATGTTAAACAAGTATTCATAGGGCGTCGTGCCGCGAAATGACGTTTGCCGATCCAGAGCAAGGACCAACAAAGACTAGAACGGAGTTGCCGTTTAAACAAAATCACCTCATGGCATGGTTGCTGTTGAACCCTTTGCAAAAAGCGTAACTTTTTGTGGGTTTAGTGGAAACCCCCTTAACTTCCCAAAAAGTTAGTCTATCGCCAGTTCTACGGACCCCGTCAAGCCAACCAATTTGGGTTTGATTTCAGGTCGTCCATGGGCTGCAATCAAAGTTCAAACACTCACATCGTCTCCGAATGCCCCAGTCATACAGCTTGTTTGTCCAGGCTCGAGCCCTTCAAAGCTTAGGTTGACATAAGGCCCGACTCGATGTTGGAGGCGCAAGGGCTTCTCATGCCAAGGCCTTGGTTTGGCACGAAGCTGAGGGGAGGGACATCGCCAAGTGCTCAAAAGTGTTTTGCTGCTGCGAAGCGAAGGGAGGGGGATGAAAATGCATGTTGATGTCCTGAGAAAAAAGAAAAAAAACCTTGTATTTATCATAAACGACAGTCCAGGCATGAGTCGCATCCGGAAAGTGCCATGCCCAACGGCAACTGAAGCATCTATTGTGAAAACGTGCTGGTGCGATAGGTAGGGAAACTGGGGGGCCCCTTAGAAGAAACCACCAGTTTGATTCGTTGGATCTCGGCGTCATTCCATTTCTCATTCCCTACCTATCGCACCGATCGCAATAAAAATGATCTCATTTTGCAAATCGAAGAAAAACAAAAAAGAAACAAACGACGATTTTCCCACAAATGCCACCACTCCTCTTGCAGTTTTCTGACGTGAAACTTGCTTGAAACATTTCAACCACAAAGGAGTCCCCGATTCGGCTCTTCCATTTCTCCTAGGTCCAGTAGAGAGCTTAGAATAAGCTGGTACCAGCTTTTTTCGGTCGTCTATTCTAGTATGGGAACCCTCCCAACCAAAAAAGAAACGATAAAAGCTGACACCTAGCTGGGGGACCTAGACCATGTGCGCTGACCTAGACCCAACCAAAAAAGGGGCAAGCTGGACCTCGTCTCCTCTGAGACCGCCCGAGGCGCTGCAGCAGCTCGAGTAGGCGATCGACCTGGATCCGAGACCCCCGATCGACCGACCGACATAGGCGTGGGTGGCGAAGTCTGCGAAGCCCTGCTAATAGATTGACGAACTTTTACCCCTTTGGCAAAAAGTGAAAGTCCTAACACCCAAGGAAAATGCACCTCTGATACTGTGGATGGTAGCGAAATCCATTTCGCACCACCTATGAAACCGCTGGTTTGTGGGTATTTTACAGGGAATCAGACCATTCCAGGGCTTCTTGCGTGGTGCAGAAGTGGATTTTGCAACCATCCACAGCGAGGCGCCGAAAGGGCGCCTTAAGGGAGTCTGAGCCGAAAAACAGGGTACCCAACCATTTTTTGAACAGACAGAAGGAGACTCCAGGAGTGGATGTCTTTAAATGAGTGAATCCAGTTGACGCAATGCAACGCCAGAATGTTTCCCACTTTGTCGACACGAGACCCGCAAGATTGTCATGGCCATGCTAGTTGATGCAAAGGGCCTACTCAGAGTGTAAGCCAAAACTCCCATGGCAGTTTGCAGCGGTGCTGCACAGTTGTAGAACCTAACGGGCGTGCCTACCAATGCACAGGCACGTGTTGCTTTGGATCTTCCCATGAGCAAAGCCAATGGCAGCTAAGAAGAAATCAGGCCCGGTCTTGAGTAGAGAAACCGACACACCCTGTGTTTGGCATGATCGACCAATGGTGGCCTAATTGGTTGCTTCCTCTCTCTTCTACAAAGCGCCAGCTGCAGCATAGGACTAGACGCATTCTTCTGCGACATGTTGCTCTCAAACTCACAGAACACACTTGAGACAAACAGTGCAGCTTGCACTTAAATGCAGAGCCAACTAATGACGTGCTTCATCTCCCGGTCGTGCATAGAGCAGCCAACCGTTTGGAGAATCCAGCGAGATGGCCCCTCTAGGCGAGCTGGGAAGCACCCACAGGGGCCAATAAAACTGGCGCCAATACTCGACGAGTGCTACCTTTCAGACTGCCCAAAGGAGCTGCAAATAAACGGTGATCACCTTTTGCTGAAACATGGACCGTCGGGAAACCAAAAGGTCAAAATTGGTCGATTCGCTGTGGGCAGAGATTCGGCCGATCACAAGAAAAGCAAGACAAGGCGAGCGATCCTATGGTACGATTAAGTCTGCCGCTCTCTCGGTGTGTTTGTCTGCAAATCAGGCTAAGAAAAAATATATAGCCACACAACAATCTGTATAGCAGTGGATTTTCTCTTGGCTTCCCCTTGCACATCCTACAATACATTTCTCTATCTTTTTCGCACACGTCTAGACGCCGAAGCGAGCGGTGTCAAGCCAACACCCAGCTCCGAGCCTCCTCCGCCATGGCGCATGCGCCGCTGGCGCTAAAGCATGGAGGAGGCGCGGAAGGTTCGGGGGAACTCGGTGAGCGAGCGTTGAGAGCTTGGTTGCTGCAACGACCCCGCTGCAAACAGTTCTTTTGTTTTAAACTTTTTTTGGGGGGGGTTTGTGGAAAACCAAATCCTTGACTTCCTAAAGATCCAACCCAATGGCAATTATCCAATCCAATGGCGTGCTGTTGAACCCACTGCACTTTTTTTTTTTGGGTTAGTTGAAAACCAAGTCCTTGACTTCCCAAAGAGTTCCAATGGCAGTCAAGGAGAGGAAAACAATACTTGTCCAGAAGGCGCCTCAATGTAATTACCTGAATCATTGGTATGTCAGGGAAACATGTTGTTTTGTTTGCATTCTGTGTGACTAGAACGTCAGATGAGTGTGGAATCCGAGCAGGGTCGGGTTATTCCACAAATCCACGGCCTTGGCCACTTTGACACATCGCGAGGTCCAGGCTGGGGAGTTGCGAAGTACTCGCGCGGCCCATAAATTACTCTTTGCATTCTCAAGGGCGTTTTCTTTTTTGCATTCCACTCTTTCCGTTGCTCGGCTGAGTCGAAAGACGCACGCGACACGAGGCTTCCGCGCCCGTGAACCGAAAGCTGAGCGTTTGCTGCTTGAAACACGAAGCCGGTTTGACGTGGGTCTCTTTGGGGACCCCCAAACTGGTGTCTTTGTTTTTCTTTTCCTTCTCTGGTCTCTTTAAAACCAAGACACAAAGGTACCCTGAAAAGAAGGCCATGTGCAAACTGCAACACACAAACAGTCAGAACTCAGAGGGATAAGGATCAGTTGGCCTTCCGGGGTCTCTTCCCTAAATCCGTGGTCTTCTTATGAAGCAGTCACTCGCTCCGGGCAAATCAACCCACAGGACGGGGAAATCGACTGACTGAGCACTGGGAGATCAACCAGCTTGCAGGGTGAACGTTGATGGCACAATACCCTAGGAGATAAGCAAAGGGCTTGAAATTTGCTGGTGCTCAGCAGGGAATGTGGGAATGAAGACAGGAAACCATAGGGGACTTGGGATGGCTTTCAGGGCTCATCCATCATTCGCTGCTGGGCACTATCTACCCAACTTTAATCAATGAGTTCCAACTTGGTTGCTGTTGACGCCCCTGCAAAAAGTTTAACCCTTTTGTGGGGTTTAGTGGAAGACACCTTTATTTTCCAAAAAGTTACAGTCTAAAGATCCAACCCAATAGCATCTTTTCCTGCGGACTCCCCAGGCAGCGCGGCATGGTCCTTGGCGTGAGGCAAAAGCGATGGTATGCCCCAAGAAGCGGAACCTCATGAGTCATGGACAAAACTCCTATGGCCTATTTTCCGTGTTTCCGTCAATAGGAATCATTACAATGGTTATTCAGGATCGATACTACAAGGTGCATGACCATCCCTGCTAACCTCAACTACAGGGGTCTTTTGACCATGAAACACATAACTACGCCATTACGCGTATCAGCACGCGTCTCCTCAAGCATTCAAAACCATATGGATTCACTTGCGTCACTGGTGTAAGGGGACTGCCTTTGTGCTGCACAGCGAATGTGTTGATGTTGCTCAAAAGAACCAGTCGTGGAACGCATGCTTCGAATATTGCGCAGTCTCACGGTCGCATTTCAAATTTCAGCCGTCTGGGCACAGGCGACCCGTGAATCTCAGATTGAAAACCGCGCTCCAAACGCTTGGTCCTCATGTGCTGCTTTCTCCAAAAGAGCGAGGGAAGGCTCTGGCCGTTTGTCCAAGTGATGTTAAGGCTACACGGCCACTTTGATAGGACCATGTGATACCTGTTGTAGCAACCACCCTCGAGCTGTCCAAGTCTCGAAGCATCTCGGTAGGCGACTGAAGCTTGGAGCATGGTGAAGAAGCCACCAAAAAGGCACAGGGTTTGCACGAATGGGTAGTTTAAGCAGACGTCTACGACCATGATGCCTCGTGAGATAGTGACCAACACAAGCTGCCAAGACCATTCCGTTCCTCTTGAAACGGACATGCTAGTTTCGCATTTCGTATCAAACTATTGAAATGGATCTGCCAGTTTCCATGTCAGCGTGATCTAATAGCTCATACTAAGTTCTGTGTTCGCACATCATGCCCAGCCGGGAAAACGCCTGCATCTCACTTCCTGGGTTGGGCCAAAAACCGACCAATCTTTTTAGGGGTTGATTCATTTTCCATTCTTTTCAACCATCGTTCTTTTCAAAAACCAGCCGTTTTCGCTGGGATTCCGGAGGTTTTCTAGAAAGAAGGGATCCCTAGAAAGAATGGGGAAGGTACCCCTAGAACCTTTTTATTCACCACCAGAATGGTCCAAACCCAGAAAGTGACTAAAGTCGTGGAACTCAGGAAGTGAGGCGATCTGAACCATTTCTAAACAGACTCCGCCAAGCTAAGGCACACCCGGCTCTCCAAGGGTTTCTCATGGGATGACATGGCAACCTTGCACCAGCCTACGTCCGACAAAAGACACCCAACACATGGGGATCAATATCGCCCTCTAAAACCGGTTGCTTTCCTTCTGGTTTCCCTTTAAAACCAGCCACAAGAGGGGCTCCACCCACCCCAAAAAAAGACAAGCAAAGAAACAAACGCCCGCTTGGCAAGTGCCGCCCACTTGGAGACCCGGCCACTTCTTTCCGCGGAGACTTCTCTGTCACTTGCAGTCTAGAAGTTGGACCTGTGCGCTGGAACCAGCCAGCCTGAACTAGAAGCATCAAGTACATGTGTGTGTGTGTGTGTGTGTGTGTGTCTGTGTCTGTGTCTGTGTCTGTGTCTGTGTCTGTGTCTGTGTCTGTGTCTGTGTCTGTGTCTGTGTCTGTGTCTGTGTATGTGTATGTGTGTGTGTGTGTCTCTCCGTGTGTGTGTGTGTGTCTGTGTGTGTGTGTGTCTCTGTGTGTGTGTGTGTCTCTGTGTGTCTCTGTGTGTCTGTGTGTGTGTGTGTCTCTGTGTGTGTGCGTGTGTCTCTGTGTGTGTCTCTGTGTGTGTGTGTCCATGAGTCTGTGTCTGTGTCCATGTCTGTGTCTCTCTGTGTGTATATTCACTCATGTAGCTCGAAAACATTGCCCGAAAACAAGAACAAACACATCAACACACCGAGAAACAAAACGATCTCCTGACCGTGGGATTGAGTACTGCCCACCCTTTTTCAGGCCGAGCAAACTCGAGCATCTAGCTATTCCTGCTTCTGCACACACACACACACACATCTACGCAGAGCTTCAAAGCGCTTGCAACATTTCAAGATAGATTGAAGACTCTCCAGACTACACTTTTTCAAGTCAACCCAACCTCAAGGGAATGCACAACGACAACCGCATTCTAAAGTGTTTGGGGATGCATGTTGGCCTCACCCATGTGTAGAGCTATAATAAATCCTGAGGCATCTGGGCAAACTAGAGTTCCAAAACTGGAAACAAGGTACCCCCCCCCCAGGAATTAAAGGACCTTCATAGGTTTTCTGGTCTTAGCCCAACTGGTGAAGGCCATCAGATTTGGCCATGGCTCCAACACATGTACCAAAATGACACCTTGGTAAATGCAAAAGACCAAAGCCTGCGGTGCGGTGTGTGTTGGCTCTTTAAACAAGTTGAGCCACACCCCACACCTTGCTTTCTTATCCTTTTTTCTGAAGTCTCTTTGGTTTCTTAACATTCCCCCCCCCCCCCGAAAATCCTCCCCTCCCACCCCAAACCCGCCTGGGTTGGGGTTCCGGAATTTTGAGGGACACCCCTTCTCCCAGCCACGGCCCCCGGAAACTCTTTTAAGCGCGAGAGGCATCAGCTGCAGACTGCCCTGCCATCGCTTGCTCTGCGCTAAGGCCTGCAGCATCAGCCTCGTCGATCGGTCTCAATGGCGGAACCCCGCGCCAGCCGAAAATTCAAAGGGCTTGGTTACAGGAAACTGCTGTAATGAATAAAACGATTGGAAAAATAAGTCCACCAAATACTGGCCATTGAGTTCTATATTCTAAAGTTTGATATACTATAAGCATAAGAAGTAATGATTCATATGAACTACTTAGAGGGAAATATCCAAATTCAACCAGGAAAAGGGCCCCAAAACACCCCAAAGTAAGCTGTTTTCCTGTAGAAAGCTCCCAAAAAGTAGTGGGTTCCTGCTTTCCTTTTCTTGGTTGCTGTTGACCCCCCCCGCAAAAAGTTGAAAAACATATTCTTCTTCTTTTTTTTTTGGGGGGGGGGTTCGTGGAAAAACAAATCCGTGATTTCCCAAAAAGTGAAAGTCTAAAGATCCGACCCAATAGCAGTCAAGTCCACGCCATCCGAACGTTGGACGGGAAAAACAAACCAGGGAACCAAGGATCTGGTACTAGACTTTGAGGGTCGAAAGGAAAAACAAACCAGGAAACCAAGGATCTTGTACTAGACTTTGGGGTTCGAACGGACAAACACACCAGGAAGCCAGGAATCTTGTACTAGACTTGTACTAGATTGTGGGGTCCTCTCTCAATCTTCAGACACCCTCATGCCTCCTGGCTAAACAACCATCAGTAGAACCAACCAATTCTTATGGAATGACAGCACTGCGGAATATGCACACTGGAGACACCAACCCGTGCCAACTTAAGCAGGTCAGACCGTCTCAGACCCAAAAAGTCATCCAAATTGTCCCCTGCTAGCAGCTGAACTTGTGGGTCAAATATAAGCCAACCACTAAACCAACCAACAAAAACCTAACAACTAAAAATCTGAGGAACCGGATGGCTGGGAACGACCGAGCCATTGGTCGTTTTTTGAAAGTCCACAAACCTGGAGCTTGGATGCCTGAAGAAATCTCTGGAATCAGGTTCCAACCAGCTGAGACTATTAGATGGGTGGCTCGTCTCTGTTTCGGGGCCCCCAAAAGTGGCGGGTTCCTCTAGGGGTTGATTCCTTTTCCATTCTGTTCAGCCATGGTTCTTTGCAAAAACCGGATCCATTTCCCCATTGGTGGTTTTCTGGAAAGAAGGATCCCTGGAAAGAATGGGGAAGTTACCCTAGAGTTCCTGGCTTCCCGTTGATTTCCCCTTAAACCCACCAAAAGGGGTACCCTCAAAAAAAACGACACACCCAAATGAAGCCATCACCTTGCTCCAGCGAACCCCATGTCAGTGGAGGACCCCCCAAAGAGAAAGGGCTTCAAAGGCGGTTCGTTGTTCGTCGCGGCTAAGCCACCAACTCCCACCCAAAGAAGCATGGGAATGTGTCAAAATGAACGGCCTCCAAAATCATGGTTGCAACCGGGTTTTCCTGAACTCCGTCATCCCGAAAAGGAACTCCCCAGACAACCTACCTGAAGTCCTGACACAGGAACCAAGGTCTAAGGTGTTGCGCGTGGAGTCCATTCCTGGAGGCCGAACAAATGCAGTTTAGACATCAGGCTCCAATTTCGAGCCGGATATGACTCATATGACACCAGCCTAACCAGCCCTTACCACGGCCAGGGAAGAAATGGACACCACTCGTAAACAATCAGCGTCCCCAGGCAACCATGACGCGTGCGCCCTGCAGTTGCCGGGGGTCTCGAGTGTTTATAGATAAACACTGCCTTAGGGCCGCTTGCTTGAGAATGACTGATGACAGAACACAAACACGGACCTCCAAAATCGGCTGGTTTCCTCTTGGCTCCAGCGGTTTCAAGTCGGTTTCAACCCCTGGTTTCCTCTTGGCTCCAGCGGTTTCAAAGCGGTTTCAACCCCAAAATCAGCTGGTTTCCTCTTGGCTCCAGCGGCTTCAAAGCGATCTCAACCCCAAAATCTTCTGGTTTCTTCTTGGCTCCAGCGGTTTCAAAGCGGTTTCAACCCTAAAATCAGCTGGTTTCCTCTTGGCTCCAGGGGTTTCAATACGGTTTCAACCCCAAAATCAGCTGGTTTCCTCTTGGCTCCAGGGGTTTCAAAGCGGTTTCAACCCCAAAATCAGCTGGTTTCCTCTTGGCTCCAACGGTTTCAACTTCTTTGAGCCGGCTGCGTCGCCTCTTGGTCCCGCCATCCGGCTGCAGATTCAGGCCCGGCCTCGGCGCAGGAGAGAAGGGGCTTGAATCCGAGGAACCGAACGTCGGGGATCCGGATGCATTGTGTGGCTCAAAAATATCGAGCTGGGCGTACGGCGGGTAGTCGTTGGTTCCATTTACCAAGGTGCTTTTTTTGGTACACATGTTCTTGAGCCACAGCCATACACCTGATCATTGCAACTTGTAAATGGTGGTGTCCCTTTCTTTTGGTGTTGAAAAAGCCAGCCATGCAACTCAAATGGAAAGGCGAAATGGAGATCTTTTAAGGAGCCCGCAATTAATTGCGGGCTGGGAATGAACCCTTGGGATCCAAGGAAAGGGATGGTCCGTGAGGGCTACTGCAATTCCCTGATTCCCATTGAATGTTGCTTCTTTAACCCAAGGGACGCCCAGCTGGGAGAACCTTGAAACGCCATCTTGCTTTTCCTCATGTTGTTGTCATTTGTGTTTTCACGTGATGTTCGTTCGGGTTGTCATTGTATTTTCTTGTGTCGAGGACATGTTATGTTTTCCAGAGTCCCAAAATGGAAGAAATCCAGCAACATGAAAATCACATGACAACGCAAATGAAAATCATATAAACATCTTCTTTACATGTTGATTGCCAGAGCCCAATATAAAGGAAAACCGGCAAACGCATAAATAAGCTGAAAATAAGCCGGACATGTCCTCGAGTTGATTCTGCACTGTTGGTTCTCCAGGGTCCCAAAATAGAGGAACACCGGCAAAATGCAGATACATTGAACATGTCGACACAACAACCATGACATGAGCACCAAAATGAACATACAATGACAAAATTAACATAGCATGACAAACTATGTTGATTTGCCCACCCAAAGGCCTGAGGCCACAAACATCTCTAAATACTAAACACCCAACTCTAGGTCCTCCAGTAGAGAGGATAGAATAAGGGTGCCATATTTTTCTGTAGTCTATTTCAGTAGGGAACCCCTCCCCCAAGAAAGGGGAGAGAAGGGCACTACTGGGGGAAGTAGAACTAAATGATAGCGAACCACTTAGAAATGCCCAATAGATTCAATAGAGGTTCTGGGCGCTGCTCCGATGACGCAACTCGCATGAGGGCTCTTTGGTGCAGGCTGGGCCCGCTTATTGCAACCCTTGAAACGGGCCCCTGAATGCACTCCAACATCCACATGGCTTCCAAGCCAAACTGGCTGAAACAGAGATGGACCAACATGATCAAAATCGAAGGATGGTTGATTCAACTTGTCGAAATGATGGCTGAAACACCATAAACCCTTGCTTTTACCAGAAAGTTTTCTGGCTAAACTCAGTAGCTCTCTTGGGGAAGTGGTTCTCTGCCGCTCTAGGCGTCTAGCTTCAGGTCCTTAGTCATGTTCGCTCGATCAATTACATGATCAGACTAGATGGGTGGCGCGTCTCTGTTTAGGTGCCCAAAAGTGGAGGGTTCCTCTAGGGGTTGATTCCTGTTCCATTCTTTTCAACCATCGTTCTTTTGTCAAAAACCGGATTTGTTTCCAACCTGTTTGTTTAATGGTTTCCTGAAGAGAAGGATCCCTGGAAAGAATGGGGAAGGTACCCTTAGGGACATGATCAGGGGGCCTACAATTTTCCTCTATGGACCCTCAAAAGTGGCAGCTTCAATAGAACCAGCCGGTCAATCGCAACTTCGGGGGGGAAACCACTGACTGGTGGCGCTGTCTCAGTTCCTTACAGGATGTGATCCCAAGAAACGATGGTTCCTTGGTTCGCTGAAGCGCGTTTGCTGAAGCGCCGGGCTTCTTCCGTAATATGGCACTTCAACTCAGGAGCTCGCGTGGGGCAGCCTTCGAGTACTTGTCCCCTCACGCGTGCTTCCTTCATTTGGGTGCGTCACCGTTTTAGGGCATCCACAAAATGGCGGTTTTCCTGTTGGCTTCGCTTCAAAGAAGTTGGTTGCTACCCATTACAGCCACAACAGTTGTTTAGCAGCTTGGTTGCTGCAATGACCCCCCTGCCAAAAGATGTCAACTTTTTAGGGCGTTAGTAGAAAACACAACTTTCTTTCAACCAAAAAGTCAAAGTCTAAAGATCCGTTGCCCAATAGCAGTCAAGGCAACGCTTTTCATTCTTCGATTACGAGGTAGGCTGAATCAAACCCAGGTGGAATCTCCTACCAAGAGCCTCTGGACTTGAGCCCCAGCTGGATTTCGGAGAAAGAAACAAAAACACCCCTCTGGAATTTTCCGCCTACCCTCAGGTACCCAAAACCCAGGTGGATTTCCGGAAAAAAACCTCTGGAATTTTCAGCCTACCCTCGGGTATCCAAAAAAACTTGCGACTTGAGCCCAGGGACAGTAGCTCCAGCAGCTGCAGCGCAAGCAACCAGCGGCGAGCTGACACCAGGGCTCCGAAACCTCGCACCCAGGGCCGGTGGTGTCTTTTATGGCTCCATTTTCCCATGTCATTTATGTTCCAAGCCCATGGTGGTGTCTTTTTTCCCCTTTTATGGCCTTTTGTGGCTAAAGAAAAAACAACTTGGAACACAACCCAGTTCTTTGTTTCCCTTTTATGGCTTTTATGGTTGATCTTTGTGCCCTTTCTTTAGCCCTTTCTTTTATGGTTCCAAGCCTTGCACCCATGGCTGGATGACTTGGAACACAACCATGAACCGGGATCTCTTAAACTCTAAGCCTCTAAGCTCTCAAGCAAGGAATTGGGCGTCGCCGGATGGACCAAAAAGTCACAGGCTTCAAGGCGTTGATTGGAAAAACAGATCGGATTCTAGGTCCTCCAGTAGAGAGGATAGAAATCAGGGTACCCGAGTCTTTTTCTGTTGCCTAGTTTAGTAGGGGAACCCTCCCAACCAAAAAAGGGGGAGAGAAGGGCACTACTGGGGGACCTAGGACTGTTAGAAAAGGGAAATGCCTTCGTGGACATCCTAGTACATGCGGCTGGGTGCTCATAAGCCACGGAACCTTCTCACAGACTCTGTTCAGCTGACTGAAAGAGGTGTCGTTTTGTAGGAATCGCTTCGGTGTTCTCAAACGGTTTCCCCTCTAAAAAACCAACCAACAAGGGCTCCCTCAGACAAACAAAACCAACAAATTGACAGTGTGTCTTGCCTAGTGGGAGTGCTTCAGGTTTCCTTAACCACATATAGCACCATGCGGCTTGTGCATGTCAAGCCAACAGGTGTACCTGCAACGACTGGCTTGAAATGACAGCCTTTACATTTCCACATGAAGAGATGCAGAAGCTGCAACTCTGCGCCTTGTGCATGTGACATTGCTAATCTGCAAAGCATCACAATACTGGGCTGCCCTCAGGTGCCCCGCTAAAAGTTTAACTTTTAGTGGGTAAAATGGAAGTCCCCGCTAAAGACTAAAAGGCTAAAAGGCTAAGGGGATGGCTGGGAGCCACCAAGAATACACAAGTCAATTGATGGGAATACGGAATACGGTCAACGGGGGTGTTGTTTTGTTTCTTCTCGGGACTCCAACAATAGTGAATTTTCCTTGTTGGTGTCCCTTCAAAAACCACCACAACAAGGAATTCCAAACAACATAATCACATATCTAAATATGTATAGACCTCCATTTGATGGCACTCAGATGTGTGTGATCAATTAGCTGTGTTGCGCTGTGGATAAGGGATCAAGTCTACAATCCCAGTGCCAGCCAGGCAAATGCAAAGGCAGGCTGAGAGAAAGTGACACATCGCTTTGTAGAGCAAGGTGGACACTGCATCAGCTGGGCAGGAAGTAGAAGCAGCTGCCTGCTTCAAGCGGAAAGCGTGTGCGACATGTCTCCAACACAGCGTGTACGACAAAACCCACGCCCCTGCTTGAATCTCTGCATGCTGGCACTGGGATCGAGTGGGGGCATGGGTTTTGTCGTACACGCTGTGTTGGAGACATGTCGCATAGAATATGCTTGCCGCTTGAAGCCCAGCTGATGCAGTGTCCCGATGTGTCACTTTCTCTCAGCCTGCCTTGGCATTTGCTTGCTCTTGGGCCGAAATCAAAATTTGAGGCTTTCTCAAGAACAAACACCGGTTCCCTGACATTGAATGTTAAGCTCGGAAGTAGACTCGCCAGAGAAATCTCTCACTTGCAGCGGGGGCATCAATCAAGCCAGGCAGCAAGGGTTGAAGGCGGCAATGTCTGGCTGCATGGTGTGCTGCATCTCCTATCGCGTGAGCTTGAGAGTCCGCCGGGCTACCCTTGCGCATTATGAATTCTCCAAACTCATTTGCAAGGCAGGAAATTCTGGCTTTCCATGCACCCAAACACTCTCACAGCTGCACCTGGCACCCACCCAACCACCCACGCACACACACAGCCACCTACACAGATAAACCCGCAAACTTGCAACACACTCACAGGCCAAAACGCCAACACTCAAACACTCAAACACTAGTGCCCAAACGCCCGAACACACACACAAACACGCATGCACACGTACATAAGTGTCAAAATTAACACATGTTTGGCCTTCGTATCCATATATGCGGCCGAGCATTTTTCGGAAGGGTTCAGTCATCTTGCAATGGCAACTGACCAGCAATGAATGGTGTGGTTTCACACTACAAGATATATAATGTTGATCCCGGACTAATAAATCCATCCTAAGAGGGGGTTGCTGCCTCCCAAAGTGATGAGCCCTGGCCGGGGTAAAAGGGAAACACCCCTACATCCTACATCAATAGTTCAGGGGTTTGGCAATGGCTTAAACATTCAGTAGCTTTCTTCCATGCTTGTTTGTGCTCGCCGGAATCAACTAGCTGCGTGAACTTTGGCAGGCGCGCTGCCAAAGTACTCTGCGCTGGCCGAAGCTCAGGCTCGCCATCTTCAAATGATGTGTGTTCCGGCAGCTTGATGAAATTCAGATATGGGTGCGGGTCAAAAATAGGTACTGGTAAGTGGAAACGTGAACTGAAATCTGCGGTCCCCTAGTGGTTTAATATTGCCCCACACCCATATGCAACAGGCCCTAACACTTTGACTGCCGAAACCAACAGCGGACTGCACCTGTTGGCTCCTTCTTTCGGCGACCATGCTACAACAGCCCCAGAATCAAACTCAGCTGCTCTTTTACCTGGCTGCTGTCTCCACCATGAAATGCAGAACTCCAGGTTACAACAGTCCCAGATTCAAGAATGGCTGCAAAAGCGCCCTGAGTTGCTTGGATGTGCTGGACGTTCCTCAGCTGCTCTTGCACCTGGCTGCTGTCCCCTGCATCACCCCAGGTCACGACAGCCCCAGATTCAAGAATGGCAGCAAAAGCTCCGACGGTTGCTTGAATGTGCTGGACGTTCCTCAGCTGATCCTGCACCAGGCTCCGCCAAATTCTGCGTGCCCCCAGGTCATAACATTCCCAGATTCAAAAATGGCAGCAAAAGCACCCCTGCGCGCTGCTTGAATGTGTTGGACGTTCCTCAGCTGATGTTGCACCAGGCTGCTGTCTCCGCCAAATGATGCAGGATTCCAGGTCACGACAGCCCCAGATTCGAGAATGGCAGCAAAAGCGCCCTGAGTTGCTTGGATGTGCTGGACTTTCCTCAGCTACTCTTGCACCAGGCTGCTGTCCACGCCAAGCCGTGCGTTCCCCCAGGTCACAACAGCGGATTTCTTTCATCATCCTTCATCTCTTGTATTATTTCTCTCACATGATTATGTTTCCTTTTCCTTTTCTATTTGCATTTATCTTTTCTATTTTATTCATCTCTTATTTGCTTCTATTTTCTTATTTTCTTTTATTATTTGTCTTCTTTAGACTTATTCCATGAGATCCAATATTATTTCCAAGAGATAGGAATGATCAAAAACCCCAGGAGCTCCGGAGGTTCCACTTAGATCCGTCAAGCGGCTTGCTTTGCTGTGACGAGATCGGGAGGCCACGGGCCCGCGGGCCCGCGGTGGGTTGGCAGCACCCCCCCTGCCGGTTTGATTGCATGATTGCTCGGGAACCTGCTGCTTCGCCTGCAGAACATGTGTCTTATGTGGAGTGACCTCATCTAGCGTCGAACTGACACTAGGTTCACAACCGCCAGGTCCCAGAAAAGCTACAGCTGTTAAAGGGGAACACCTTCCACCTTCCGCGCATTTCCGAACATTGCCAGCTTATGTCCGCTAGAAGAATCTTCTTTCGGGTAAAAAAAAACAAAACGACATAGCTTTGGCCTCGTCAAGTCACCAAATCGGCGCTCATATACCCCGAGTCACAAACGAAACCCGGTATTCAAATGGTCTACCCAGAGCCATGTAAAGAAATACACAGGCGGATATCCGCACCCGTTTATGGCAAGGGGATTGTCCCTTACCCTCCAATTACCCGGGTTTATGACTCGATCCCCTCTCTCCTGAAAGCGATCCAAGGCCTGCTGCCACAGTGCCCCCAGCTGGCAAGCCTATCGGAGCCGAGTCACAGACACCCCACACAATGGGCGAGCTGGGAACTCCCCGGTTTTCGGGCCCTGACTTGTTGTTGTGTTTGTTTGTTGCGCACGACTGAGATTCCTGAAAAAGCTACACTGGTTGGATCCCGTGCATGACTTCAATGTGTCACCAACACAACAACACACGCACACACACACACACACAGAGGCACAATGAAGATAAGTCTCAACAATTCCCTTCGCCGTGCAATGTGTTGAGGCTTTCGAATATCTGGCAGTCGCATAATCGTTGAGTGAATGCCTGAAGCCGCCCAACAACCGAGGATGCTGATTGCTCTGAGAAAATGCTGCTACTGCTGCAACCAGCGCATTCATCTCTAGTTGCTCCTGAACACGCCAATACCACAAATGGATTTGGAGTGTGGAATCCGCTGAACCGCTGGGACTGGAATCGGCCAAAACACATCCCAATCTATTCGCTGGCAAAAGCCCCGTAGAAGGCATACACTCACAGTGGCAGGCCAGATCAGCCTTTGACATTTTGGACTTGTGCGAGTTTGTGAACTGTCCAGCAGCTTACCAGCTAAAACACAGGCTCAGCCCTTTGCTTCCTTCAAGAGAAACACACTAGTTCACTAGTTGATTGTGGAAGTGCCCTTCAGCGACGTGGCAACTCCGCAGGGAAAAGATGCCAATTCAAATGCAGCCTTGGCCGCAAAAGGGTGACACATCAAACACATTCCTGAACGCCAAACCAAGGCAACGCGAGTCTCAAAACGCTGATGCCAGCGTTTTGCACACAATGAAAGATTGTCTCCGACCATTGTAGCTCGACACTTGCGGTATGAGTGACATTGCGATGCGCTCTCCTTCTTTTTCCCCACCAACTCATACAAGACCGGGGCCAAAAGAATGAGCACAACAAGATTAAAGGGCCGCAGCATCTGCAGTCTATAGCCTGTCTCTAATTGTGGCGACACAAACGCTCATAATCGGGGAACCTTATCCTGCCTGGAAAATACCGACTCCAGAACAACGTGACCATTCATCTTCACAGGTTGTGGCAGTCCCAAGCTCTGCGCGTAAGTCATTCCTTTTCCCCTGAGCTACGTTACATACGAAGGTGAGCTCGATATCCCACTTCCGAGTGGATTAGCAAAACCAAGTACAGGACCTTGTCTAGGTCCTCCAGTAGAGAGGATAGAATAAGGGTACCCTTTTTCTATAGTCTATTTTAGCAGGGGAACCCTCCCCCACAAAAAGGGAAAAAGGGCACTACTGGGGGACCTAGTTGGCTTATACCCCAAACAAATGATATTCCTCAAATGTATAACGTGCAGAACCTCAGGAGTGAGCCTTAATTTGCCCAGCATGGGTAGTGACTCAATTCACAAGGTGGTGGCTGAAGTGCAAAAAATGAACGCGCGGCTCCAATTCTACCACCCCAGCCCTGTTTGGGATCGGCTTGGAAGAATCGTTCACCCAAAGAAAAGCAGAGGCGCAAGGCAGAACCAACTCCTGGAAAAACAAAAAACATGACCTGACTGAGGTAAAGCAAGCAATTGAGCGCAAGGTGCTGTAGGTAGAAGGTGCCAGGCGAAACTTGTGGGACTAAACCAGCCAAGCCCTGGCAACAAATGGATGTCTCGTTTTAGAGGACCCCCCCAAAAAAAACAACAACAACACACATATTGGTTTTCCTGTTGATTGTCCTTCAGACCCAGGTACAGCCCAAACAAAAAGACGGGACGCCGTTAAACGGACGGAAGATCCGCGCTCCTCACGTCCACGTCTCCACGCCTTGAGCGCCGCGGTGGCCAGCACCAGGTTGGTGCCAGGGCAAAGCTTCAGGAGCTGAAGCGCCTGCGTCTCACGGGGCTCCGTTCCGAGCACCAGTTGGACCCCCAAAGTGCGGTGGGCAAAAATCGGTCAAGAACACCTGCAAGCCCAAAAAGCAAGCTCAATGGAAGAGCACATCAAGGGAAACACTTGGGGAAAAATGCGCTCGGGTGTCCTTTTCGTGGTGGGTAAGTTTAAAAGGAGAACCGCAAATTTCGGGGTGGCGCTGGGCAAAAAGTTTGACGCATGTCCAAGTTTGGTGGCTTTCTGTTTAGTTTGCTTCTAAAACCACCGACAAAAGGGGCGTTGGAAAAAACACTCACACACACACCCACATCGGCCATGCCAAAGGTGATGGGGCCAACTAGATTTGCCCCGAGAAACATCACCCCGCTCACCTTAAATTGGCCTACCTAATGCAAGCGGCCAAGTAAATCAGCAATAATACTCCCCTGTGGTCATGACTGATTTTGTGTTTACGAGTCCACCACAACCCCATTGAAACTATTTAGGTCCTTGTATGCCGGCGGTGATGTCAGGCAAGTGCTGCAAGTCAATGATATAAGCTGTTGCTAGAAACTCCACGGTCCGCGGTTCGGCATGGCGACTTGATTTGGGAGTTGCTCAAAATGGTGGACCGCCGTGTTGGTATTTACAGGGCCACCCAAAAGGAAACCTTAAGCCATGTTGAGGGCTCCGAATTCTGAGAAGCACCCCGTTTCTCACCTTCCGTCGGGTTCGGCAGTGGACTTGGTGCCCTACGGTTGGCTTTTCGGTAGCAGCCATGAGCTCGTGACTCATATCCGATCCAACAAGAAGGTGAGCATGGAAAACTCGCAAGCGAGTCCGTGATAAAGGTAATTGGATTTTGCAAGGGATTCTTAGTTTCTTGTCTACGCGGCTGTTTGTTTGAGGCACTGTTGAAAGCGTTGTCTTTGGTAGCTCTATAGGAGAAAAGCCAAGCAAGAGGGGGTCCACGAACAGATGAGTGTTTCGTTTTTGAGGGTACCTTTTTGGGAGTCGTCCTGGGTCCACCGTTTGGGACGCAAACACGAAAGCTACCATGGCATCCTCCTATTGACACATACCCACATTTTGAAGCAACCCTTCTCTGAAGGAATCGGTCAAAGGCAATCCCAAAAAAGGATCATATGGCAGTGGCTCAAAATTACAGAGCTAGGGTTACGCAGGTTTTGGTCCATGTTTCCACTTACCAGGGTTCCATTTTGGTACCGGTTTTTTGAGCCATGCCCATATGTTGTAAACTTTGTCCCAAGACTGTTCGAACCAGGTACTCCCATTTCAAGGTAAACCACAAGGAGGTTTTTCAAGCAGTAAGTTGAAGCAAGTGCTCTGGGCGACGACAGGCAAAGGGCCGCAAGCGGCATCTCCGGGTGTTGGATGTTTGTCATCTTTGATAAGAACTCAAGTGGCGTTTGAGCAAGTGCAGGCTTGCAGGTCAACTTGAGTGATTGTTCCTCATGCAGCAAGTTTGAGCTTGCAGTGATCCTTCTGGTGCTAACTCGGTTGTGTTCTTTGCTTTCCACGCTGGGCTAGATGGCTGGAATTGACGCTTGATGTGTTTGTTTCTTGCTTGAACACTTGGCTTCTGCTAACAATATGAAACTATATCATCTTTTCAAGAGCTACGGGCTGCGTGCCACCACTGACCTTGACAATCGACAAGCATAAAGTGCACTCTTTTTCGTGGTTCGGTGTCACTCGCCTTGTCTTCACCCCTCGTGTGATACACGGGTACGAATTGGTACATGATTCATCGTGCATGTATGCACTCGAATTCAGCCACACAGACAAATACGACCTCTCACACCAAGCACCGATTTCATGCCTCCACGGGCGAACTTCTCGAACTGCAATCTTCGTGTTTTGGCTTCCCTTTAAACCCCACACCCTCAAACAGCACACACACACACACACTTCTAGGGGTAACTTCCAATTCCATTCTTTCCAGGGATCGAATCTTTCTAGAAAACCACCAAACACCCTGGGGAAATGGCGATCGGTGTTGAAAAGAACGATGGCTGAAAAGAATGGAAAAGGAATCAACCCCTAGAACACTCGTCTTCTTCCGGGCCTTGACCCACTCCCGGCTGCGGTTGCAACAGGTCACTGCCGACGTGTAGGACACCAAGTCCGGCTGAAGGCTGCGGCGGCTCATCAGCTGGAACAAGCCTGAGCTCTGCATGAAGCTTAGAATCAAAGAGCCTACCCAAGACTCCTTCCATCATTGAAGGTGAGCTATGGTCAACCCAAGAAGGCCATGAGCTATGGTCCAGACTGCCATTCCCAGAGTCCATCCATGTGTGGTCAAGGCTTGGCCCATCTCCGGTCAAGCTCCTCGCACTTTGGCCCAGTTCCTCAAACACTAAATGAAGAATCTAGTCAAAACGATGCTGTGGATGGTTGCGAAATCCGAGACCGCACCACCTAAGAAGCCATGGTTAAAACCACTGTTTGTTGGTATTTACGGGGAATCAGACCATTCCAGGGCTTCTTGGGTGGTGCAAAATGGATTTCGCAACCATCCACAGTATCAATCTGAGAAAGGACCTTATTGCCTTATGCAATCCTGGAGCCAATACATGGCCCGTGGTCCTGAAACCCTTAATCGGAATGACTATAACTGGGCTGTCCTCAGATGCCCCGCTAAAATCTTAACTTTTAGTGGGTTAGATGGAAATCCTCACTAAACACTAAAAGGCTAAAAAGCCAAGGAACCGGATGGCTGGGAACCATCAAGTATACTGATTGTTTTCCAGATCCTTAGCAGGTGGATGACTATCCCTGTCAACCCAAAGTAAAGGAACCTGAGCCGAAGTTTTTTCCATGGCGCATATGAACTGGCTGCCAATTGTGGGCTCAAAAAACTCAAAGGCTATCATCCCCTTCCTGCCTTTCAACCTGGCACTGCTGCTTCCAAAAAAAATACCCCTCACAAGTTACCATTCAAGGAGTCTATCCAAAAGCATGCAACATGTCTAGTTTTGGCTGGGACCATCCCCTACCCTCCAATTGCCCGGGCAGGGCCTGCGTCAAAATCTGGCGAACCCCCTAGATGGGCCTTCCAAAAACGCGAAACATGGGAATGTGTCGATCCACATATGGCTGTCGGTCAAAATTGGTACCTCAAATGGAACCCTGGCAAGGAAACATGGACGATTTAACCAGCGGTCCATATCCTGGTACCCTTCCTCCCACGAACATGGCTGCGGGAGGGTACCTTGAAGATCAACTTCCATTGGGAGCCAGATCCCTGTCAGATGTCCTTGAATACTGGCGACCCCTGAAAAATCTTAGTGATCAGGGCCAACAGTACCAGGTTGAAAGGAAGCAGGACTAGGTGCTCCAGTAGAGAGGTTAGAATAAGGGTACCATTTTTTCTGTAGTCTATTTTAGTGGATTTTGGAACCCTCCCAACCAAAAGAGGGTTTGAGAAAGGGCACCTGGCTGGGGGGCCTAGCCAAGCAGCCCAGCGCCAACTCCCAGCGGTTGCCGCGGCCACCGGCGGAGAGCGCCGCGTTGATGGCCACCAGGTTGCAGTGCCTCGTTAGCTTACAGTGTGTCAAGTTGTTGAGGGTATCTCCTTTGCGGGGTTGATAGTTACTTGGAAGCCAAGAGGAAATTAATATGTAATGATCCGGTTGAAAATACCCCTTTTTGGGGTTGGTTTTAGAGGGAACCGAAGGATCAACCCGTGTCGAACATGGGGACCAGCATGAGACAAACCGGCTTGCTCATGTCTCACGGCAAGACGATACTATTTTGATGGTTTCACTGTCGCCATGCTTTCCTCAGGGATGAACTTCTACTGGGCAAGTATACGGAAATGGCAATCAACTGAGCCCGACACCAGGACTTGTCCCGTGTTCACACGCACAAGCCATGTGTGTTCGGCTGGTTCATCATCATCATCATCATCATCATCATCATCATCATGATCATCATCATCATCATCATCATCATCATCATCATCATGATCATGATCATGATCATGATCATGATCATGATCATCATCATCATCATCATCATCATCATCGTCATGATCATCATGATCATCATGATCATCATCATGATCATCATCATGATCATCATCATGATCATCATCATGATCATCATCATGATCATCATCATCATCATCATCATCATCATCATCATCATCATCATCATCATCATCATCATTGTCATCATCGTCATCATCGTCATCATCGTCATCATCGTCATGATCATCATCATCATCATCATCATCATCATCATCATCATCATCATCATCATCATCATCATCATCATCATCATCATCATCATCATCATCATCATTCATCATCCCCAGCAAAAATGCAAGACAATGCAACGCAACAAACCCATCACACCTCAATGCAGCAGAAACCAATCAAAGCTGAACCAACCCAACACACAACAGTCATCCCACATGCGCTGTTTTCTGGCCTCATACGTCTAAATGATCTCAACGTATCTTGGATCAAAGCCTGGACGGCAAAAGGCGCCTTTTCGAGGCTCAGGCTGAGTTTGTTGCCTTTCGGAGTTTTTGGATATGCTCCCTTTTGGACACCTTGGCTCTGTTGCGTTCTGCTCCCCTGCAAAAAGTTTAACTTTTAGTGGTTTAATGCAAAACCCATGAGTTGGCAAACAGTTAAAATCCGAACACCCAAGCAACATGCCCCAAAGGTGCCAAAGGTTACCTGGTGCGTTGTTTGGCTGGTTGGTTGCCTGGTTGCTTGGCCTGGCTGGGCTGGTTGGTTGGTTGCTTGGCCTGGTTGGGCCCCGTGAAAACTCACACCCGAGACCTCCGAAGCTGCCAATGCCAGCGAGGCACTCTGGCATCTGGTCCAGCAAGGCATATGCCTCAGAGACTTGCCCATCGGTCCCCTCGGATCGGCCCTCTGGGAGCTTTCAGTAGCTGTGTAGCTGCTCCCATTCAAGTGGGATGGGGGGCAAATGGGATGACTAGCCCAAAATGGGTAAGCAAATGGGATAACTAGCCCAAACCGGGTAAGTAAATGGGATGACTCACCCAAAATGGATTGAAATTGTGCCAACCAAAGCTCTGAGCGTAGTTCTCGCTTTTTGGCTGCGCCGCAAAATACATCTGGCAATCCAAGCCGCATGGGGAAATCAACGGACCGCGGTCAAAACAAATACCTGGAATCAATCCGCACCCTTCAGATATCCCTTCAGGCATCGATCTGTCGTGACCCAGCTCTTGTGGCATCGAGCTGTAGTGTGTTCATGCGATATCTTGGGCCCCGTATAGGTATACCCTAAGAGCCCTTGGAACATGGCCTGACTCCATGTCCAAAGAGCGCCGAAGTCATGAGAATGTCGATGAAGGCCCACGTTCACCTTTCTGTTGGAATGATTGGAAGAATAGATGTAGTGCGAAAGAAGCTCTTGTTAGACTCGTGCCATCGCAACAACATTCTGAACCCCCAATTGCAACCTTTGCAAAATGGTGCCTCCCTAGTTCCGCGTGTCCTTCCGAGAAAGCTCACTGCTCTCATTTTGTGAATATGGCCATATGGCCATGGGTCAAAATCCATATCGTTCCCCCAGAACATCCCAATCCCCACTAATTGACTAAATTGGGTGGTGCACCTACCCCAAAATGGGATCCCATTGGTTTTGACGACCACAGCCATATGAGGTTCATCTGAGGTGAGAGATCCTCTCCGATGTTTTTCCCCTGTGGCCTGCATCAGCGTCAGCTTCGACTCCCTCCCGGGGCCGAAAAAACTCACGGACCTTGTGGTATTTGCGGAAGGCCCCTGAAAAAGAAAAAAACATGTAAAGAAACACATGTCTGGTGGTGATAGATCCAATAGACTTGTTTTGAGACCAACCAGCGAAAGTCCAACATGGGAGTTTGTTTTCGACCGTACTATATTCCTAGGGGCTGATTCCTTTTCCGTCGTTTTCAACCATCGTTCTTTACAAAACACAAAAAAACACCCCGTTTTCCTTGGGTTTCCAGAGGTTTTCTAGAAGGAAGGAGCCCTGAACAGAATGGAACTGGAAGGTACCCCTGGACGATTCGCCTAAGGTGCCATTTGCCACATGTGGCCCTTGTCGCAGGCGCTGACCGCAGCACCCAGCGACATCACGTTGGGCTCGGTGTGGCTCGGTTTCATCTCGTGCCTAGGCGCAGGGTCCGGGTCCACCTACCCGGAGGGCGTCCGGACTGCTATGTCAATCTGTTCGTGGAGCGCATTCTGAGCTGTCCTCAGATCCCCCGCTAAAAGTTCAACTCTTAGTGGGCCAAATGGAAATCCTCACTAAACACTAAAAGGCTAAAAAGCTAAGGGGATGGCTGGGAGCCACCAAGCATTCAACACCAGTCCTGAAATCTCAAAGTCAACCATCTAAAGATCCAAAGAACTGCACTGGACCGAAGGGTTCGACCAAACGTTGCAAGCAAACATCCAAGTATTCAACTACCTACCCGGCTCCAAAACCCATTCATTCTTCCCCACCAGGGATCTTGTGCCATCCTATCCAGCCGAGTGAATGTACCTTGGGCAACCAAATAAGCGGGTTGCGAGCAGCGGGAATCCTGACACACGTCAGGTGCTAGATTCCATTTTCCCACGTTATGTTGTTGTTGGCTGTGGGCATGAACAGACTGTTAGAATGGTTGGCATGCGACGGCTTTCTTTGAGCCAACCCTCTCTGGGGCAATGCAGCTCGCAACGTGCAGCCGCTTTCTCGGTGGGTGCTTCTCTGCTGCCTCTTGCTCAGTAATTTTCTGCCCGGATGCGTGCTTAAGAACTCGAGCCCATTGCGGCCATGAGCTGATATTTTCTTGGACAAAACTCGCGGACATGTCTTGTTTTTTTCCCCGGGGCTGATTCTTGCCAGCATGCTTTGCTTTCAAGGAACACCAAACAAATCCATATATATATATATATATTAATATATATATATACCTGGAAACTCCTTCCGGCCAAAATTTCAGCCGCGGACTCAAAAAGGCGCCTTTTTGCGTCCGCCGGCGGAAATTTGGATCTCCCAAAAATCGTGCGGCGTTTTTGCTTTTCCGGCGGCGTTTTTCAAACGCGGCCTTAAAGAGTATTGCTGCCACAACCTTTGCTTTGACCCATGAGCATTCGCCAATGTGACAAGCGTTGATTGTGCAAACCGCATTTTGTCTCATTATATTGAATATATGCAGCCACAAAGCAGCCTTTTGCAACTTGCAGCCACCGCAGTACCTGCGCATGCCTACCGCCAATCTCTTCAATCAGGGCATGACGCAGCCCGGGTGTATGAATTATGTTTGTGGCGAGTACGGAGCCCTCTTTGTCTCCACTGCTTCTGGCTTCAAAGGGGCTGGTTGCCCCAAAGTGATTTTTTTCCTGCATGCACGGTTCAATAGACGGTTTTGTATTTTGTTGGTGTTTCGGGCTACGGCGGAAACACGCGGGATTACGGCGGAAACACGCGGGATTACGGCGGAAACACGCGTCCAACCAGTGGACGTTCTCAGGGCCTTTGATTGTGCTTGATGCTTGATCTCCTTACCTTCGATTCGTGCTGTTATTAGCATCACTGTGCAAAGCACGTCTGGTCACAATTGCATTGCCGGCGGAAATCATGATGCATGCAATTGGCTATGTAGTTGCGGGCACCGACAGTGCCAAAGCTCGTGTATTGATGTGCAAGTGCTTGCCATTTCCGGCCTACGCATTGTTCTCTGGATGGGCGGGGTCGTTGCTGCGTGCCCAGTGCCCATTTTCGTAACTTTCAGCAGCGTTTGTGAGCAAATCAAAGACATGCCGGTTGGCTTTGCATTGTGGGAGCAAGTGCTTGGTTCAGTTTATGATGTTCTAGACCAGGCTTTGCGGCTGTGTTTTCTGGCTGCCGGCGTTTTTCAGAGCTGCCGGCGATTTTTTCTACTTGCGGCTGAAATAATTGCTGAACGCAAAGCGGCTAAAATTTTGGCCGGACGGAGGTTCCAGGTATAATTTATATCTTATTTCTTTGGGGGGGAGGAGGTTCCAGGGACGCCACCTGTTTTTTCAGGACCACCGGGAGCTTCCGTCATTCGTTGGGGTTGGGTGGGGGGGGGTGAGGGGCGCTCCCGAGCCGTCCGAGGCTCAGCAGGCCGAGCGCTTGGGGCCATTGCGCGGCGCGCGCCAGGGCGCTGATGACGCTGCTAAAGCTCACCACCTGAGCGAGCTCTGATCGCCTGATGACAGCCACTGGTTCATTCCCCAAAAAAAATGAGAACCTCTGAGCAGCGTATGGCTGGGAAAAATCCCAAGGCTCACCTAAAACCCTGGGCGAAGAACCGGGTAATGCCATGGCTACTCCCATCGAGTGGATGGAGCACCAACAAAAAATTGAGCCAAACTGTTTGATTTGGTTCTTGCCACGAATCAACAGGGTTCCACTTTTTGATAAGATAGACTTAAAGCTGCTGGTTCATTCCCCCAAAATAGGAGAACCTCTGGGTTTAAGTCTATCTTGGGGTAGTCAGCTATTCTTACCATATCAGCTATTCTTACCTCTACATGCTGGTTTCCCCTGGTTGCCTACAGCTAGTGGCTTGCCTAGCACTGGAGTCAGAAAACTAAACCGATCGGCATTCAACTGGCCCAGGCCATTTAACCATGCCTCAAGAAGGCGAAGGCACAAATTTGTGGTTGGGAGTATCCCGCAACTAGGTCCTCCAGTAGAGAGGTTAGACTAAGGGTACCCAATCTTTTTTTCAGCTTTGTCTATTTTAGTAGCGGAACCCTTCCCCCCAAAAAAATAAATAAGCACTACTTGGGAACTAGTCAATCTTCATCTAGTGGGGTTTTGAGCACGTCAACTGAAACCCATGGCGACCAGTGGCTTCCCTTTCCGATCGAGTGGACGGATGCCGAAAACAGCCACTGAAATGGTTCAAACCCGAAAAGTGAAAGTCCAGGACCTTCGGAAGGTGAGTGCATACTCCAAAAAGGAAAACCATGCTTTTCTTCCCCAACTGACAGTTCTGGCTTCTTTTGAAGGGGGACCCACCATGACCCACCCCTGTGTTTCTTCTGGCTTTACAGGGAAACCCAAGGGAGAAAAAAAATGAAAAAAAAGAAATCCAGATTGGGGGGCTCCAGGGCCCAAAAGACCGGATCGGCTGGATCCCCAGAAAATCCTCACGGGCTTTCTTGCCAGTCCAGCGTCAGCTTCGACTCACTCCCGAAAGACTCACGGACCTTGTAGTGGTTGTTTCCTCCTGAAGTCCCCAAAAAAAAAACATATATATCTATATATGTATATATAAAGAAACACATATTTTTGGTGGTGATAGATCCAATAGACTTGTGTTGAGACCAACCTGCGAAAGTCCCCCGCAAAAAGCGAAATCTGTCCGGCAGTGATAGATCCAATGGATCGCTTCAAACCAACCAGGCAAAAAAATAAACATTGGGTGTGTCCTCTTGTAGGGGACCCCCCTTTTTGTGGTTTCTGAGGGAAATGAAACGGAAAAAACAAAATTCATGTTGGGGGAAATCTAGGGCTCTCAACTACCTACCCCCCGGCTTTTTTTCTTCTTTTTGTCGGGGAGTATCCCCCCCTTTTGGCGACCCCAAAACTTTGGCTCCAGCTGCTTCCCCAACAACTGCAAGCTGGGTCGATAGTGCCCCAGGCTCTGCGGGTGGTTTGGGGGCATTTCAGGCAGGGTTTCGGCGATTCGGTTCCATGGGGTGCTGGGGCTGTTGTGCGTGAACCTCTCCTGGTACCGTGGCCCACGTTGTGGCTCAAACATGTCCTGGTTCTTGCATAGCCAACCACGGCAAACTCCTTCAATGGCAAAAACATATGGGGGTCCCCTTTTTCCTACCGAAGCCTCTTTTCTTTTTAGGGGGGGGGGTCGAGCGGGCGCACCCAAGAAAAAGATGAATCAGCTCAGGTTCAAGAACTCTGGACTTCACCTTTGGAGCATTTCGGCAAACCTAATGGCTGCTGATTGGAAATCCATGAAAATCCGGGAATCTTAAAAGAACTCACTTCCGATCGAGTGGATTGGCCCAAGAGAGTCTGAACTTGTTCTGTACCACTCAACTGGTCTTTCCAAACAGTTTCAAGCTCATGAACTCAGGGAGCGAGAGAAGCCACACATCGTGGTTGCTGTTGACCCCTCTGCAACAGGCTAAGATGTTGTGGGTCCAATCCAGAACATCCGGCTTGATACCAACAAGTTAACATCCAAAGATCCCAGGCAAGCCCCAAAAGCGGGCAACCGGATGCTCGGTTCATTATGGTGTTCTTTGCCGGCGGTCAAGCCCTTGCCTACAAAAAAACCAAACGGATCCACGGATCCACTGCCTCAGACGGATCTCGAGCAACCCTTGCCTACAAAACATCCCAGCTTCAAACGGATCCACCGATCGATCCACCGCCTCAGACGGCAGGCAGATCTTAGATCCCAAGCCCGAAAAGAAAAGTGGGTAACCAAATAGGTCCCTTTCGGTGCTTTCTAAGGGCTGTCAAGCCCTTGCCTACAAAAAAACCAAAGGGATCCACCGATCGATCCACCGCACTCGGCAAGCCACGTCCGGCGCCGGTTCCGCGGCTTCGGAGCGTTTCATGTCGCCCAGGAGGCGCAGAGCCAAGGGCCAGAGCTGGCAGTGGTCCCAGGCACTCCTCAGACGCGAGTCACTAGTCGGCCACAAATGAAGCCATGGCTTGGATCTGGTTGGCCGTAAATGAAGCCACGGCTTGGAACTGGTTGGCCGTAAAGGAAGCCACGGCTGGGGACCTACAAGCTTCGGAGATACTTTTTTCAAGATCAACAACTGGTTCTGAGGCACTGGTCGGTGGTTTCAGGCACTCAGACTCACCTCCCCGTTCCGATGAAACCGTGGCTTGGAAACCGGAAGCCTTGATATGAACAAGGGGGGAAGACTCAAGTTACTGGCTGGCCATTAATGAAACCATGGAAACCATAAGCCGTGTTGCTGTTGAAAAAGGGGGAAGACCTCCTCACTCCAGGGTTGCTCAGGTGAGGATTTTGGTGTGAAAAAGGGGGAATCGCCTCACTCCAGGGTTTCTCAGGGGATCACAGTATGAACTATCCCTTATATGGGGCTGTCCTTTCTATTTGAAGTGTAACCCCTTTTGGAGTTGTATTAAAGATAAACAGCACGCTCACCTCGCTGAGGAACACCGAATGTCCACCTTTGATTTCTTGTTTTGTTGTTGTTTTATTGTTGGGGGGGGGGGTGCTTGGCTTTATTCAGGCGATTCCACTAATCATAGGTGGACATTACTGTGGATGGTTGCGAAATCCGAGACCGCACCGCCGAAATGAAACATTGGTTGAAACCACAACGCTTGTTGGTACTTGCAGGAATCATCACTCCAGGATTCTTAGGTGGTGCAGGATTTCGTCCACAGTATGAACTATCCCTTATACGGGTCTGTTCTTTTTAATTGAAGTGTACCCCCTTTTGGAGTTGTATTAAAGATAAACAACACACTCACCCCGCTGAGGAACACCGAATGTCCACCTTTGATTTCTTATTTTGTTGTTGTTGTTTTTGTTGGGGGGGGTGCTTGGCTTTATTCAGGCGGTTTCCACTAATCATAGGTGGACATTACTGTGGATGGTTGCGAAATCCGAGACCGCACCGCCGAAATGAAACATTGGTTGAAACCACAACGCTTGTTGGTACTTGCAGGAATCATCACTCCAGGATTCTTAGGTGGTGCAGGATTTCGTCCACAGTATGAACTATCCCTCATGTGGGTCTGTCTATTTTATTTGAGGTGTACCCCCTTTTGGAGTTGTTTTGAAGGGAAACCAACAGGATACAACAAGACACACCCACATTTCCTTTCAGAAGATCCCTTGGTTTCATTCCTAACCCTCGGCGATTCTCTGCCCAAGAAGAAAAGGCCGAAGGGACAATCGAGTATGTCGAGATCCCGGATCCATCACTTCGCTGCTACAAGCTAAATACATTCGGATAGCAAGATTGTCAAACCGATATACTGAGAGAAACTCGATTCGTACAAATGCACATCAGAGCTGTCGTCAAAACGCCAAAGGCGGGGCAACCGCAAAAGTCTGGCCAGCCCAAGCAAACAACACATGTTGAGAGCCATGACCTTAGGCGGCTTGAGGCTTGCTGTAGTCCACAGAAACACCGTGTCTCCCTCTAAAAAAAAGGCTCCTCCCAAAAAGCTTGAAGTCCACCTAGAGTCTCCATGAACCTTTAAAAATGGGGTCCCTCAGTAATGGGGTCATGGACCTATTTTTAAAGGGTCATGGAGACTCCAGGCAGGAACTCAGGGAGGTGAGCCAAACCAAAACCGCCTTCGCCTTCGTTCGCCGAGTTCGACCAAAGCGCAGCAGGGCATTGTGGGACTCCAAGCTAAACCTTGGGCTCCGGTCCAGCAGCGCCTGCAGCCGGCGTGAGAAGCCGAGAGAGCAACCGCCGCAGCCCAGTCACAAAAGACAGGAAAAAGGTTGATACAGTGGATGGTTGCGAAATTCATTTCGCACCACCTAAGACACCCTGGAATGGTCTGATTCCCCTGTAAATACCAACAAACAATGATTTACCACAGTTTCCAAGTGGTGCGAAAGGGATTTCGTCTATCCACAGTATCGGCTTCCGTAATTGGTGGTTTGGAGCCCGTGGTTTGGAGGAAATGCGGGCTGGGAAACCATAAGCCATTGCAGTCCACAAGAACCAAGGGTGCATCCAACCTAGCAACTAGGGGGTTCCTGATGTGGTGTCTTCCGCAGAAACAAACACATGGCTCCTCTTCAACCTGGAAGCGACTTTTATGCTGAGGGCATTTCGCAAAACAGGCAGGAAGCCATATATGGGTGTGTGGTTTTGTGAGTATTATCCTAAGGCAGGTGAGGGACACTCACTAGGTCCTCCAGTACAGAGGGTAGAATTACGGCCAGCCCCTGAGGTTTGCCTGCGCCCCGAACCAACGCCCCGACACAAAATCCCTAAACCTAAACCCCAAAAAATCTTAAATCCAACCCCTAAAAACCCTGAACCTCAACCCTAAAGAGCAGAAACCTAAACCCTAAAAACCCTAAACCTAAACCTTAAAACCCTAAACCTAACCCTAAACCGAAACCCTAAAGACCCTAAACCTAAACCCTAAAAACCCTAAACCTAAACCCTAAAACCTTAAACCTAAACCCTGAAAAACCCCAAACCTGCTTGCTGAAACCTAAACCCTAATAACCCGAAAACCCCTAAACCTAAACCCTAAATGCCTAAACCTAAACTCAGACCTCCTTGCTACCCACGCCCTCGTGGTACCACGGCCCCACGTTCTGAAGAGAACGCAGGTCACCACGTGTCAGGTATGGCTGCACGAGTTCTGCTACTTGAGTAGTAAAGGGTGCCATACTTGAGCCACGTGCTGGACAAGGGTGGATTAGGGGGTGCCGGCAAACCACGGGGGCTGTGGGTAGAATTAGGGTGCCCTTTTTTCTGTAGACTATTTTAGTAGGGGAACCCTCACCCAAAAAAGGGCAAAAGGGCACTGTTGGGGGACCTAGCCCAAAGGAAACCATATTCTTGTTTGGGGGGTCCACCTATTTTGAGACAGAACTAAACCATGTGTGTGATACAGGCAAACGACAAAGTCATGCCTAAGTCACTCGTAGCATGAAGCCTATTGGAAACTTGTTGCCAAAAGTTGTGTTCTCAAGTGCTGGGTTGGGATAGACACTTTCAAAAAGCAATGTTCAAGCACGCCTTTCGACCTTTCCTGCGTGGAAACGCAAGCCGCGATCGGGACATTGATTCATGTAGAGTAGGCAGAAGTCATGCCATCGTTTCGTTGTTCCAATGCGGAAGCTGTTCCAAACCAGGGAATGCGACTGCATGTCTACCTCGCTGTTTCGGTGGCAACATCCGCAGGCTTAGGTCCGAGAGGGGAGCTGTGGACAGGCTTCTGGAGGTCTCGTTCAGATCTCGTTGATCTTGTTGTTGCTTTTCTGACCATGTCCTGACATGGCAAGCCCATGGAATTTCAGCACTCAACAAATTGCCTGCTTCTAAAAGCAGTCTAAGCCGCTGAGTGCCTGTGACTGCTTCGAAACCTTCTTCCCCACGAAATTTAGACAACGCCTCAGTTTTGAAGCACGGCTAAAAAGCAAATCCTACCATTTGAGGCCTTCCCAAGACCTCTCGACCTTGGGGGAGGTCTGCAACTGTTCACAATAAAACACAATACCTAACACCTAGGTCTTCCATTGATCACTTGTTGGGGCTCTGGGCATTCTTGTTGCTCGTTTCAAACTACTGTCCACTGGTCAAAAAACGGGCGCCTTTTGAACTTCTTGCAAGACCTTGCAGAAAGAATTTGCACTCAAACTGGTTCACTTTCCCCAACATCTGCACTGAGCCGGGCATCTACATGCAAACTTGTTGTAGCACCCGCCAACGCGCAGCGCTGATCGAACCACGGGCCTTCTGCGCGTCAAGAAGATCTAGCGCCTGCCGTGTTGCTGCCATCGTGCCCATCTGTGCCACACGAACAAGGCATGTTACAACCTCTACTTGACTTGGTTGCTTTCTGCTCCCCTGCTACAAGTTTAACTTTTAATGGTATGGAAAACCATTTTGTTTGCCAAAAAACACCAAAGTTGAGAGAGACAGAAACACGCAAAGCACAAACCAGCGGACATGTGGACACAATGGTTCAAAGACACAGAAACAGATGCACAGAAAGACACACAGTAGAGGCATGGAGAAGTATGACACAGAAGGCAGAAAGACCAACTGAGACATTCAATGATAAACAGAGACACACACACAAACACGAGTCAAACATTAGCACACAAAAGGGTTCAGGCACAGAAACACAAACACAGACCTCCAGTGTCTCACACTGCGTTGGTTCTGGGGAATGACACAACTCCCACGGTCACACATACAAGCCATAACCTTCCAAGGTTCGCTGCTTGAACAAATAACAACAAGCATGCCCCAGGCTTCTGATTCCACCCAGTGCTTGGAAACTCTGAACCATCACGCAGCATACATGGGCAACGAGTCTGGGGTTGTAGGAGTTTTGCAACATGGACGTTGATATTTACTGGGAAACTAAAACACAACCATCTGTTTCAAGCGGACAGATTCCTATTTTGAGAAACACCCATCTTGTTTACTCACTGGCCCAAAAGACCTGGAAAGAAAAGGTGATCACCGTTCGGGGCCACAAAACATGCGCCAAGCGGCTCGATTCGCTTTGGGGAGCAACTGAGGAGTTACTGCAACCTTCTTTCATTTGCATACGCCCCCGGAAAAGAAAAGAAAAGACAACAAAACAGTAGTGATAAATTCCTCCAACAGGGGACAACAAAACAGTATTCTTTTTAGCAAATGGAAGTCATAGTTCACAGAAGAAGCCCTCAACATGTTTTTGTGGAACCTCCTTGTTTTGGGTTGCCAAAGTTTGGCTCAGATGGAAACTCAGCCATGGGACAAATCTTTTGGGCAACTGAACCCGCCGGGAAACAATAACATAATTTCAGTAGTGATTCCCTTTAAAACCAACAAGGGAAAATGGACAACCTCTTCTTTTCAGCAAATGGTCCAGTGGTTGACCTCTCTGCTTTCTTTTCCGAGCGTCGAGCGTGAGACGAGCGTCGAGCGACGCATCCCCGGCCTGTTGCCAAGCCCAGCCTTTGGCGCAGCCAGCGCAGACAACCCCCAGGAGCCGCTCGTCGCGGCGGAAGTCGTCGTAAGCGAGCAGCAGCAGGGCCTGGGGATTCGGTGACTCAGTTGTTCAGTGACCCTGTGAAAAAAGGGAACCCTTTTGAACAAGACCATTTTTTAGTGGGGCAGCCACCAAAAAACAGGACAAATAATTGGTGCCAGTGCCACTGAATAACTGAGGTGACTGGATCGCTGGCGTGTGCGGGGCCGAAGTGGCATACCATGTGCCATCATGCTCATGCGCTCTTCTGGGTGACATGTAGGGGGTCTCAAAAACAACAAGGAAATCGTACCCATCACCTGGAGCTGTTTTCTTTTGAGGGATACATTTCCCAAGGCTATTTAGCGCCCAGGCTTGGTGACACTTGAATTATTGCAAGCTTACATAGAGATCTACTGGTGAGGTATCTTCAACTGCGGTCCGCTTCCACCTAGCGGTCGCTTAGGCATACGGGGCAGTCACATTCAGTGGCGTGACCTGGTAGAAAAGCTTTTCAGGGCTCTGCAAGCCGCCGCATCGGCAGAACATCGGCAAGCCGCGACCCATAATTTAACGAGACCTGGTTTCAACAAGCTTGGTTGACAAATTGGTGGAAACTGCTATGGGGCAATGAGGCAATAAACCATGAACCTGCTTCATGTTAGTCACAGCAAAGTTAGGTATCCTCTTCGCGACAAACTGAACATGCGCGGGCTTCCTGCTCCACAAGAGGGGTTGCTCTAGGGCAGGTCTGGTGCACTTCCATCTTTGTTGGGAGGGCGTAATCCCTTCCCCTTTTAATAATTGACCCTAAAATAATTACTATTTTTTCAGACTGGCTGAAACAGCCGGGTCCCCAATACTACCGTGAGAACAGCCCCATTCAAAGCCAATACTAAACTGTCCGATGTCTCCGCCCAGGCCAGCCCCAGCCGTATGAGGGGTTCCTTGCACTAAACAATTACCAATTCTAAACGTATCCTTGCCATTTACTAGTTTACATTTAGTTCTTGAATTGTAATTCTGCTTTGGGGCCTTTACTATTGAACCGCAAAAACGAAAGAAACACCTTGAACGGTTTCAAATAAACTTGTTACTCGGACATTTGTGGGTGTTCGTGTCCGGGAAGGGGGGAGCCCATTTGGACGATGACCGAAGAGGAAATCCATTCGACCCCAAAGGACCCTGATAATAAACCGTCCCCCAGAGAGTGTTTGTTATTAGAGTGCCATGCAGTGCCATCCAGTCATGGGGTCCCCCCTACACTATTCAGCGCATTTTGAATACACACGCTAAACCTACCTATTTTCAACCTTCAAATCCAATCACCCAACCAATCCACTTTTTTGGCACATTTGTTTTTTTAGGAGGGAAGCCAAACGTTGACAAAAAACATCGACATCCATACTGTGGATGGACAAAATCTGGCACCACCCAACAAACGCTGGAACGACACTTGCGCCGTAAATACCAACAAACACTGGTTTCAACTTTCGTCCATTCCCCTTAAACACGGAATGGTTCAATTGCCAAGAAAAGAACAAATAGCAACAGGGCCAAGAGTTGACTAGGTCCTCCTGTAGAGAGGATAGAATAAGGGTACCCATTTTTTCTGTAGTCTATTTTAGTAGGGGAACTGCCAACAAGAACGCCCAAGCGCCACACCTGTTGCCAGGCAATGGCCCTCTGCAAAGCGCCGCAGACCGCGGTCACCAGCTTCACGTCCAGCTGGAAGCTGCCCGCGCGGTTCGATCAGCTGAGCGGCTTTTTGGTTGGTGGGTTGGTTGCTTGGTTGGTCGGTCGGGTGGTTGGGTGGTCGCTCGGGTGGGTGGGCGGGCGGGCGGGCGGGCGGGTGGGTGGGTGGGGTGGGTGGGTGGGTGGGTGGTTGGTTGGTTGGTTGGTTGGGTGGTCGGTCGGGTGGTTGGTTTTTTGTCAGTCGGGTGGGTGGTTGGTTGGTTGGGTGGTCGGTCGGGTGGGTGGTTGGTGGGTTAGTTGGTTGGTCGGGTGGGTGGTTGGTTGGTGGGTGGTCGGTTGTGGTCGGCTCAAAATCGGCACTAGGAGAAACTTGAAATTTAGCACACGAAAAGCGGCGCATCCACACGCAGCAGCACAAATAATTCCAGAAAAAAACTGAAATGTAAATAGAACCCTTCCTGGAGAATGCCACAGAGGAAGGAAAACGGTGCCGTTGAACACTGGGTACCGCATCAAAAACATGTTCTCTACGTTTCGCATCATGGCTGAAGTACAGAGAAGCTCGTTGGAATGCCTGGACACAATTGATTTGAAATTGGACTCATCTGCAAAAACAACATTAACAGCTACTACATTTGAACTCCTGCTTGATTTAACGGGTGAGTGATGCCAAATCCTCTCCACTTGGGCGGCGACGACCCAAATGGGCGAGACCTACAAAACCAAGGGAAGCCTGCCATATCCTTCCAAACACAAGCCTGTTGTTGGACCTCCATGTTACCTCTTGGCAAGCAAGCTAGCAACACCAACCTTGGTCGGTGAAAACCGCTTCACAATCCAAACCCGGTACGTATTCCATGTGGTCTTGGATGCCTGTCTAGGTCCTCCACTATAGAGGTTAGAATAAGGGTACCCTTTTTTCTGTGGTCTATTTTAGTAGCGGAAGGGCACTGCTGGGGGAGCTAGCTGTTCGTCCCCTTCCCGACCCCTGGTAGACCTTCCAGAACCCGCCTGTCGCTTTGCAGAAGTGCCAGGCTCTCCTCCCAGCGGCCCTGCCGGCCCAATGTGATGGCCTGCGCAGTCCTCGGAATCCGCGGCGCATCGAAGAAACATATACATATAAATGTGTATGTATGTATATATATATATATACAACAAATACATGATAAATTGGATGAAGAGTTTACGGTTTGCGCAACTGCTTGGTGAACCATGGATTGAATGCTTTTTTTCTTGGTCACAATCTGGCGAGGTCAACCAATTTCTGACCAGACTCGTCTCCAGCTGCCCCTGGGCTCAGATAGGGCGGGGATTTCATTCCTATCATAGCAACATGGTCCACTCATTGTGGGCAAATTGCCGGATCCACAAGATGCAAATAGAAACCCCGAAGAAAAACTCACCGTTCGCCCAGGCAAGCAGGCTACGATTTGCAAGACTGTGCATTCGGGATTGCTGCTTTGAGTGTCATCTCTTGGGCAAACTCAAACCCCAACCATGCCGTGTTTGCCACTAAAAACTGACCGTGTTGGGTGCTGTGTTGCTTCCCGGCGTTACATGTGCGTTACGTCACTTGCGCGCAACACGCCGCCCAAGCCAAATTTTGCTTCAAGAGCCAAAATTTCAGCGCAGGAGCTTTAGGTGTCCGCCTCAACCGGCTCATGGCGGGAGCCTCAAGCTTTGGCCTGTCACAGCCACTGCCGGGAGCCTCACCCGCCTCAAACCTTGAGACACTGGCGGGAGCCTCAGACAGATGTCTGTCACAGGCTCCGTCGCAGCCGTCTGTCGCCCGGTTGGGTGGACGGGCGCTGGACGGCTCGGATGTGACTTAAGATTCAATACCAGCAAAACCTGTCGAGTGGGAAACAAAAGGAGAACGATCCTGTTGAGATTGCTATGTGACATAAAACAAGCAAGCAAGCAAGCAAGCAAGCAAGCAAGCAAGCAAGCAAGCAAACAAACCAACCAACCAACCAACCAACCAACCAACCAACCAACCAACGAACAAAAAAACAAGCCAACCACAAAAACAACAATGGCCAAAACACAAAAAAAACACCACTACCAAAAACCCCACCAAAAGAACCAACAAAGCAACCAAACCCAAAAACAACTTACCAACCAAACCAAAACCCAAACTCGCCAACCCCCCGATTCTTCGCCCCGCCGCTGCTGGCGCAGCCACACGCGGCGCCGCTTCTCCGCCTGCCGCAAGGCGCCTGAGGTGCGACTCGGCCACGAAGCCTCCGCCCCATTTGAGTCGCAATGAAACCTGGTACTAAAATGGTCTACCCAGAACCATGCTTCAAGAATTAAGAAGGCGGCCGCAGCTATTTATGGTTGGGATCGTCCCTTACTAACCTTCATCAATCCCCGGGTTTTGAGCACGTGGCTCATTTGGCCGTGAGACAACCCACAGCCCGTTCCGCCTTTCACCATGAGCCACTCGGTCGCCCCATGGGCTCCCAAGTGATTCGGAGCATGTTCAAATGGCGGATCAAAAAGAGGGTAACCCCAAAAATGGCTTGCCCTGGCAAATGGAAACATGGACGGTTTAACCTGCGGTCCATATCCTGTTGGTTTCAGTTCGACCCATACCCATTTGGCTCATGAACCATCTCAACAGCGACCGGAGGACATGAATCCCCTGATCTGTTTACCAAAGGGTCCCTAGTTGATACGCCAAAATGAATGCTTAGGCCAATGGGTGATGCTCCCTCCTGACCCTGGGTCATGCACCGGCAAGTTTCTGTCGCTTCCCAGCAATACCCAACAAGACAAAAGTTCGAGGTTGAAGGAACTCATGACACAATCCACCACAAGTTGAGCTTTTAGCGAGGGATTCACGAGCTAAGAATTGAACATACCTGTCACCCATCCAAGTACCGCGCTGTTCCCTTGGCGCACTCGGTCCCATAAATTCTTAAACAGAGGCCCAGGGCGCCCTTGCTCCGTGGAGGGTTTCTTGCGTTAAATCTGGGCTGTGGGAAATGACCACTTCTGTGATACAACAGAAAGGGCTTCCAGACTAACCCTCCATGGAAAGGGGAGATTCCCAAAAGCATCACAGAAGTGATTGGATAAACCCCGAGTGATCCCACAACCCTGCCTTACATCAACTATCCACAAAAACCGTGCCACGGCCCATGTCTGCTGGCCCAACGCGGACAAAACCGCCGCTCAAGATCTGGAATGGGATGGCAAGACAAAAAACATGTCCACTTACACGCTTGCTGGGGGTCCTGTACTTGTTCTTTGAGCAACAAGCGGCTGAAGGGCGTGCAACCCGAAAATCTTGAGGCTCCAGATGGCGCATGGATCGCCCCGAATTGGATCGACACGGAAGCGCAAGCGCAAGCGGGGAACTTCTTCGCCACGAAGCCATCGGCTTGAACAACTCCTTCGCCTAAACTTGGTTGCGGTTGACCCCCTTGACTGCAACAAGCTTAGCCTTTTGGGGGTGTAGTGGAAAAACCCTTGGTTTCAACCAACAAGTTAAAGTCCAAAGATCCAACCCAATAGCAGTTGAGTAAATGGCCTCCTGCGCAGTTGGGCAACGGCCCAGCTATGTTCCTCAGGCCGGCTGAATTCAACATCTGGGTGTGTCGTCTTTTTTGGGGGCACCAGGCACTTTTCTGGCTGTTTTTTAGAGGAAAGCCAAGGGAAGAAACACAATTCACTTTAAACCACGCTCAATTGAAAGGAAAGGCCGCTGACAGTCTCGCCCATTCTGCCGAAGCGGCTCTGCAGTCCCGCGCTGCTGTGCCTGCATCTTCACTCGGGACCCTTGTGCTCAGCAGGGAATGACCTCCGGGTTTTGGGAATGAACCGTTTGAGGATTCCCTTAACGGCAACCATAGGGGATGGTTGAAAGGGGTCATTCCCTCATTCCCTGCTGAAAACCAGCACCCAACTAATCCCAAACAATGATGATAGACTAAACCAGGATTTAAAAATGTGGCAAGCCGCACAGAATAGCTATCCATCCACATCGCCAATTGGAGCCAAGTTCATTGAGTGGTTTCGCTATTCATCGCCAGTGGACACCTCTATGGATCCCCAAGGCTGTACACCCACCATCCCATCACCAAACACCCCGAAGCTCAGCTTGAGTCCGAACAAAACAACTAAGGCATGGTGAAAGCGGACATGCGAAACACTGCAATCAAGCCTTTTGCTGACTGGTCTCAAAAAATTGGGGGGGGGGGGGGGGGGCGTCTTTTGACCAGCCCCCAATGGACACACACAAACTGCACACAACTTGAGTGGCAGGCGCTATGGACCAGGAGCCCATTTTCGAGCCAGTGAAATTCCATTCAGATGAAATCGGGCCCCTTTTCTCAAGCTACCTGAGAGGCGATCAAAACCTCAGAAAAGAGCAAGCACAACTCTAAATCAACGGACCGAATGAAACCTCTGGCCGACTTGCTCCATGAATGCCCCATGTCACACTGGGGGTCTTTTCCTCAAAATAGGAATCTGCTCTTGAGCGTGGGTGTGTGTGTGTTTCCCTTGAGTACCAGGCAAAATGACTTACTATGGCACCTGCAGGATGGCATCTGGAAGACCAGTTTCCTCTTGGATGGATCCCTGCCAAGTGCCATGTTAGCACTTCCCCAGAACTGTGTCTTGTCTCCGATGGTAACCCCCACTGTTTCACCTCCAACCGCTGTGATTCCGCGGGCCTGCGCCTTCCCAGTGCAACGTCGGCACATCGCACCGCCTGCCAAGTTACCCCCCCGCCGGGTGAGGAACCTGACGTGTTTGGGGTTGGGGGGGGTGGGGGGTGGGGTGGGGGGGGTGGGGTGGGGAGGTGGGGTGAGGGGGGGGGGGTGGGGAGGTGGAGGTTTTCATGATGAGAGTGGGGACCAGCTATAGAATGTATATTTCATTGTTTGCTTCACTTTGAGCCAAAATAAAATGCAAAATGTAGCCTAAGTCTACCCCAGTTTTGAAGTGGAAGTTCATTTTCAGGCAGGTGTCCTTTTGTGGAACCCATCAGTCTTAGACACCTAAAAAGGACACCTATGATTGCATTGGCAAGTTACCCTCCCACCAAATAACATGGGACCTGACGTTTTGGGGCCTGGAAGATAATTGTGATAAGCGGTCCCCATCAAGTTCCATGCTGATTGGTGGGAAAGACAATGATGTGTGCGAGTGTCTAACACCTTATATCTTCCATTTGCTGGAGCCCTGGAAAAAGAAAAGCAACTCCAATAGCGATAGATTCCCTTTAAAACCTACAGGGGAAAACAATCTTAGACAAACGCAAGATATTCAACTGTCCTACTCCAGGGCTTCCACTGCTGCAAAGCCAAAAGCAATCACGGCGCATGGAGATACCAAGATTGTGGTCCAGCTGGCAGATGCTTTGTTGAAAATCACACACTAAATTAAACCTATTCTATACGACTTTTTGAGGGTCTGAAACGCGCGACGCGCCGCGAATCTTGTTACGGAGGTCTGTAACGGAGGCCCCTGTAACGGGAAGACATGTCTTGACAAGCATCAGTATCAGAAGCACAATGTAGCGCAGAACGACGAAGAGCAGCAGCTCCCGCTCGAGAGTCGCAACTCTTCAGTACAAGCGCAGTACGCAAAAGCACGCTTCCGCAGCCCCATGCAGCTAAAAATGTTGCAACTGCCGACACAAAACCAAGCGATGGCAAAAATGCGAGGTATGTAACGGCAATGCAACGAGGTCTGCAACGAGGTCTGCAACGAGGCAAAGCAAAGCGCAGTCTCAAAGCGCGCCTCCGCAGCTCCAGCTTGATTGCAGCTACTCCACGCAAGCCACGCTGCGGTAAAAAGGGGGGGTTGCTGGCCCGGGCTGGGGCTGGGTCTGTAACGAGGTATGTAACGGCTATGTAACGAGGTCTGTGATGAGGCAAAGCAAAGCGCAATATGCAAAGCGCGCTCCAGCTTGATTGCAGCTATTTCACGCAAGCCACGCTGCGCCAAAAAGGCGGGTTGCTGGCCCGGTGGGGTTGGGTTTGTAACGAGGTATGTAGCGAGGGGCGTGCAACCAGCCAAGCGGTTTGCTCATCTGAGGTGTGTAACGAGGGTGTGTAACGAGGGGTGTGTAACGAGCCAGCGGGTCTTGTTACAGAGGTCTGTAACGAGGTCTGTAACGAATGTCCGGCACGGCTCTGTTACAGTTGGAAAAAGGGCACTACTGGGGAACTAGTCAATAATTTCAGGAACGCCTCCCTTAGACTCGCGATAGAAAACTGGACGCCTGGCGCATGGCGCAGCCATGGCGGACACGTTGGGGCCCGGCCCGGCGCGTTCGGAGGTCGTTGGCAAATCGTGTTTTTCCGCACTGACAGGATCTTCTTGGTTTGTGTCTGCTTAGGAAGGGGGACCTTTTAGGAGAACCATTGCCACTCCGAGTAACTGTTCTGATGGCACCTAATTTGATATCTGGCATGTAGCTCCTTCACGCCGAAGACTTTTCTGTTTGCACGTGCCATGCTTCGAGCGCTACCCATCAAGCCGTCCTTTTTCACCCCGACGGTTGCGGAATGGCTCGAGGTGTGGCCAACCTCGAGGCTGGAGCCAAGAGCACTTCCTGAGGGGCCTGGGTTCTTGCATGGATCTTCAACTGGTAAACCCCTCCAGGTTCTCCAGTAGAGACGTTAGCATAAGGGCACCCTATTTTTTTCTGTAGTCTATTGTAGTAGGGGAACTCTGACCCCAAAAAAGGGGAGAGAAGGGCACCACTGGGGGACCTAGCCGTATGGCTGTCATGGTGGACACAAGCAGCGGTTTGCCTGTGAGGGTCGTTGTAGTTTCTTCATGCGCCATGAACAAGCTCGTCCCAAATCAAACGATAACAAAACGGGGACCTCTTTTTGTTACCGAACAACCCAAAAGCATACCACCTACCTGGAGGGATTCGCAATCTTGAGAACCACCCATCTACGCATAGTGTTCGTCATGTGGTATACATGCAATACATGCAATACATGCATTACACGTCGCGGGGTGGATGGTCAAATGGGTGTGGCTCAAGATTAAAGAGCCAGGGTTACGCTCGCGGAGAAGGTCGCCAAGGTTCAAACTTTGAGACGGCCATGGTGTGCTGAAATCAGGGATCCTGCCCAGAAAAAAAACGGAAGAGCCGGGTTTCCCTAAGGTTTCCTTAAAATGCCCCAAACACACACCAACCACGTCCATGTATCTTGCTTCAGAACCCCACGCGCAAGGAAACTCTCTTCTGCTTTCTGTGCTTGGTTGCTGTTGACCCCCCTGCAAAAAGTTGAACTGTTTTTTTTGTGGAGAACACCTTATTTCCCCAAAAAGCTAAAGTCTAAAGTCTAAAGATCCAACCCAATAGCAGTCAAGTGTGCCTCTCTTACCCTCCCCAACAACAAAAAGGCACTCTCTATCCCATCTGGTGCCTGGCGTGGATTTGGTCTACAGTACTGGACGCACCCGCCACGAATCCCCAGTTGCAGCACACAAGCGGGTCTGCATTTTTTAGGGCACACTTTTGGGGGTTGGTTCTCAATGGAAAGCCAAAAGGAAACCACTTTTAGGGGTCCCCTAAAAAGACGCGCCCGAATGGCCTGACCAAAATGTTGGTCAAGCCTTCAAGAGATGCTCTTTGATGTGTGGGGCACGGATTGCTTTTGGCGTGGGGATGGGGAGGGGGAATCCAGAGAGAGAGAGCGAGAGAGAGAGTGGGGCTGGGTGTGGTGTGGGGGGGGGGGGGGCAAAACCGCGAGACTGGCCAGAACATGTTCCTGAACTGTTGAACTAAGTGGCCTTGGAATAAGCTCAGGCACTCAGGGAGGAAGCTTCTGGGGACTAGGACAGTTCTTGATTGGGGAACACCTGTGCATGACGGACACTTAGCCATCTTCTATGGGGTATCGAATGGCTATGCTTGGGGCATGCATGATGGCCTTTCTAAGCATCCATGTCAGCAGGGAGATCCCCAGCGCCTCGAGAGCAAGTAGAGAAGAAACCCGACGTGTGCTTTTGGGGCATCAAGCACCTTGGCCTCAAATTCATGCTCCCGTGACTCATTTTGGCGCGCATTTTTTTGAGGGTACTCTTAGTACTCTCCCTCCCACTAACATGGCACAGGGGGTCCCTTGAAGAAATGATCTTCCAGGTGCCCTCTAGCAGTCGCCATGTTAGTGGGAGGGAGGGTACTCCTTTTAAGGGACACCACAAACTTGTTCAGTGGCCCTAGTTCGGCGCATGTCCATTTCATCTCTGACCCGGCCATCTCCTTTCTGGCAGGCTCTCATGAGATCTCGCTGACCTCAGCGGCCAACCTTCTTGTTTTCCCTTTGAAACCACCAAACATGGGGCACCCCCCCAAGTTTGAAAGGGCCACCCCTCCAAAACAAGGGGACAAGGGTGTCTGGAATCACATAGTCACTGGATTTCGCCATAGCAGGTCTCGAAAACCACTCCAATAGCCAGCAAAAGTCTATCCTTAACCCATGCTGAACCAAACCTCGGTTTAACAGCAAAAGCAACTGATCGTAGGGAATAGAACAAGTCACCCAAAGTTCAACTCACGCTCTGTGCTGCCCAAACCATTTCAGCTTCTTCAGCTGAATGAACCGGGGATGTGTGTCCTGGTTAAAGGTACTTTTTGTTGGTACTTTTAAAGGGACACCCCAAGGAAAACCACCCGTAGGACCCCCGTATTTTGACACATCCAATTGAATCATGGCGTTGTTGTTTAACTCCGACTATGCTCTGCCCTCAGTGTTTCAACAAATATGGACCGCCTAAAGCTGTCAGGTTTCGCATCGGCTTCCCCTTCAGTACCAAAACGCGAAAACTTTCACAATTGAGTACGTCTCAAGACCCTCCAGGTGCTTGACTTTCCTTTGGCGTCCCGTCAAAACCAAGTACAAAAAAACTGCTTCCCGCGCATTGGTGGTTTGAGTTCCCACTCCAATGAAGGGGTACCTGAAAAAAAAAACATAGCAATTCGAATTGACCTCCCCTCACCCCCCCCACCAACCCCCCACCCACCCCCCACCCACCCCCCACCCACCCCACCCCCCCACCCACCCCACCCCCCCACCCACCCCAACCCCTACCCCCTACCCCAACCCCCTGCCGTAAAAAAACAAAAAAACGCTCACTTCGTCCCAGTTGCCAGCCGCTGCAGAAGGGCCACCCGCCTGGCCGTTGGAACCCCTGAAATGAAACTGCGTGTTTTTTTTTTCGCCAGGCGACCCATCTGGAGCCCCTGTTTGGGGCCCTGAACTTTGCAACTTGCAATCCACAGTTGCAACAGGCGGTGAGTTAACGACTCCTTGGGGTTGGCCAACCTGGCTGGGACCTCTCGGCATCAAAACTGGGCGAAAAAAGGTCCAGCTTGGGCGCAACCATCCAATTTGTTCCACGACCCCATTGTCTTATTGTTCGGCGGGAGTACTTTTTTCAGCACTCTTACCCTATATTTGGCGGTTACCTGCCACTGATCTGTGCTTGCCACTGATCGCTCCCAGTGCTATGGTGTGAACCGGTGGTGCCCAAGCGTCTTGGCTCGATGTTTTGGGCGCTGCTGGTCTGGTGGCTCTGCTGTGTGGCTATGTGGCATCCGCTGGAGCAAATGCCTCCAGTCCTGTCGGTTCTCCCCGTTTAGCCGACATCTTGCTGGTGCTCAGGGAGTGTGGGGGAATGAACCTGGGGATTCCCGAAAAAAGAAAAGGAAACCATAGGGGATGGTTTTAGGCTGGGTCCAGTAGAGAGGTTAGAATAAAGGCACCCGACCTTTTTTCCTGTCTGTTTTAGTAGGGGAGCCCTCCCCCCAAAAAGGGTAAAAAAGGCACTACTGGGGGACCTAGTAATTCTATGTAATTCTATTTTTCTTCCCGGGTCCAAATTTGCAACACCAGTTCGGTTCTGACCAGGTTCTTTCCCAGCAACAAGTATTAGTGGCTATTGTTTGTCGATCATTCAGCAACAGCTTGAATCATTGTCATCCATGCTGGTCCTATCTGTTTCGAACTAAACGCCTCCGTCTCCTACGAGTACAACCCAAATCTAATAGAGCCAGGCTGACGCTTGCTGGTCGGCACGCCGCCACCTCAATCTAAGCACCAGTCACTTGACTGACGCATCCAATCAACTTGTTGGGGCTCTACAAGTTTACCCTGATTGGGTGGACATTGTGCATGGATGGTCCCATCTGCAAACCCTCCAATGGAAACACAAAACCAACTTCCAGCAGACTGCTCCAGCACACCTGTGTCCAGATTTGGCGAGAAATAAGTGACAACCTGGGAAACCTTGGCTGTTGGAACACTTGGCTAACATCTAACGCTTCCATAGGCAAACACTACAAACCAAGAGGCCGGATTTCGTGGGAAGTTGGTTGGGCCAACTATACGGCGTCCTTTGAAGGTACATTGGGCGGAGGTAAAAGGCCACAGTGACACCACCAGTTGCCTGGCTCCCCTTACTGAAATTATAGACAAGCCCATGTCCACCAGACCGTTCATGGCTTCAGTCGTTAGTTTGAGCTTATGCAACTGAACATGTCGGAAATGCATCCAAGTCCACAAAGCTGCTCGAGAAAGCGGGCTGTTGTTTCCGTCATGTTTTCCAGGAGGGAAATATCGATGATGCCAGACCGACGACCCGGCAATCTTTGAATTCACTTCCCCAATCCCATTTTCCCTACCCGGTGGATCCATGTCATGTGCCCAACCAAGGGCTTGCCACCCTTTAAAAGCTTTAAAGGGAAAATACCCAAAGGTTTCCTACTATACGGGCTTGCCTTGGACCACCGGGCTAGGCAAGCGAACCACCCTTTTTGAAAACTCAAGTTGATCCTGGCTCCGGATACCTCGAATCAGATTGGGGACATCTGCGAAGCATCCGACTTCAGCTGGCTTCGTCCTCATTTCCCAGACGCGAAAGAGGGTAAACCAGCCAAGAGGGGGTACCAAAAGGGGGTAAACTGGCAGAAACCATTCCCAAGAAGACACAGCCTTACGTAATGCACCCATGAGCAACCCGTCCCTTGAAGCAAGCCCCAAGCCGTTTCACCGTCGGCTCCAAATGCTCCGAACTTGCCTCCCCAAACCCATGAGCAAATACCCCCAGCCGCTTCGGGACTCGCGGAATCCAAACCTATGAGGGTTCACACACACACACATCGATGCGACATGGTAAAGCAGCAAGCATAGGTGGCCTTTTGGACAAATAGATGGCCCTGGTAAATGGAAGACACCCCACCTAAACCAGTGCCATGGATTTTTAATCAAACAAATTTCCACGTGGCAAGGGGGACCGTCTACAACCCCCCTGCAAAAACAAATGCAGAAGAAAACGGGTGTCCGAAAAGGAGATTCCTCGACGTCTGGAGCTATTTGCCAACCTGCAGAGCAACCCACTCTGAAGTCTTGGGTGACCGAGAAGCTCTTTTCGGATGCAACAAATGCATGATCGTCCCTTGGTGCAATCGATCGGAGCCCATTTGTCAGAACCCACCCCATTTCATGCTGGTTCTCAGCAGCGAACCAGAGAATTACCCGTCCGAACATTCGACGTCTTGTTTTTCCAAGGCGGTCACCCGGGTCCATTGGCATTTGGTCCCAAACTTTGAGTATTCTTGCCCTCCCCAAGTCTCACCTTTCACCTTTCACCCCAAGGATGGAGACTTTCACCTTTCACCCCATTACCCCAAGTCCGCGAGAAGCCCTCCCTTTCACCTTTCACCCCAAGTCTCCTCGGGTGGGCGCGAGGAGGCCTTCAGGCTCCGTGGCCCCGGCTCATCTTCGCAAAGCACTGCCACCCGGCCGCGGCTCTCCAGGAGCCGCAGTGCCTCGACGCACGGAAAGCCGATTCGCAGCTAATCTTCCAAGCTAAAAAAGCACAAAGCTGGTATACACGTCCAGCTTGAAACATCAGCTTACGCATATATACATATATATATATATATATACATATATATATATATATATTAAGAACACGTCTACAATAATAATAATAATAATAATAATAATAATAATAGGTATTTATAGGTGTCTTTTTTGAAAAATAGATGGCCCAGGGCAAATGGAATAACACAAATGTAAACCAGGCCGTCCAAACCAACCCAAAAAGGACACCTCTGCATGCATCTGTTGGCAAACAAACCAATGGAGGTCTGGCAAGAAAGGGCCCTTCGCATGATGCTCGCTAGTTTAATGTAAATTGCGCGCAAGTCAAAACATCAGCCTTGCCCTGAACTCCCTAGAGTAAGCTCATGCTCCGGCTCCAACTTGCCGGTTCTCAGGGGAATGAGACATGGAATGACCCCAATTACCATCCTTTATGGAGTTTCCTTCAAGGGAACTTCCAAAACACAGGTTCAGTCAACTAAAGCCCGGAACGGTCATTCCCTACCGAATTGTGACCCCACCAGCGCCCCGTGAGAACAAGGGCGCGGCCATGGCCACGTCGCCTTGCCACCGCTGCGGCGCCTGGGAATTCGAATGCCGGAGAAAGGGAAGTATTCGAGGGGTTGACTCCTTTTCCATTCTTTTCAGCCATCGTTCTTTTCAAAAACCGATCGCCATTTCCCCAGGGCTTTTGGTGGTTGTCTAAGAAGGATCCCTGGAAAGAATGGGGAAGTTACCCCTAGAAGTATTCCATTTGGCTTTGGGTTGTCATTTCAGCTTCCCTTAAAGGGAGCCAGGGAGAGGGGGGGAAAAGGCCTCGGCCCCGGATCACTTGGACAAAGTGGGCCCGCCTTTAGTCTTTTGTTTCCCCTACCAGTGCCCGGCCCCGATTTTTTGCACAGTTCTTGGATGTCCTGTTTGCTTACACAACTTCCTTGAAGTTGCATGCGATTCAGTTGCTTAGAATTGAATTCGTACAAAGATCACTACATTTATACATTGAGCTATGCAATGCATCTGAATAGCTCATGCTAGACTGATACACTTTGTTAATGTTTGCTGCTTGAGCATTTGCATGAAGAGCACCATAGTAGCAAGCTTCTCCTGCTATTGGTTAAGCAGGGATAGAAGTGGTTGCTATCAGCAGCGTTAGCTACAATACTCCCTGCAACTAGCACCGACATTGATTGCTGCCTTGCCTTAACCTTTAATGAACGAGAACATGTGGCAACCAGGGGCGTGGTTGCACTGGGGCTATAGCTCTAGAAAACCATATTCTATGCAATTTGCTCGTGGGCCCATTTGCGTGTAGTATTCTCATGGCTTGCCTTGTGCATCACACTCTCTATGGTAATTCAACAGGGTAGAATAGGATAGAGCTTGTTTGTGTATGTGGCTTTGACGTCCAACTGCATCTGTCACAGGTTACAGGTTAGGCCAATGTGCAGCAGCGTCAACTAAGTGCTAGCTTGCTGTTGGTTACCTCGGTTCAGTTAAATCCGTGCTTTGCAGAGCCTCACCTGGGCGTTTACGCTGTACTCCCCCAGTAGCAGATCAAACAGCAAGTAAAAGTGCTGCAAAACTCTAGTGAACCTGCACATGACAGTAAACCAAGGTAAATGGGGGTTGATCAAAATTAGCTTCTACATGGGGTGATCAAGCAAACCGCAACAACAAAGATGACATTCACCACATGGGCAGACTTACCCATGGTCAATTTGGGACCGAAGGGAATATTGATCAACCCACAAATGTGTCATTCACTGTGTTTCCGTGCCTCGCCGCGCAGCAGCTTTGTCTCATCCACCAACAGCAAGGCCTAGTGGGTCTAAGCTCATGGTCACGGGCCCCGTGGATTTTTGGGGGTCTCCTAGTCCGGGGTTGGAATAAAAAACGACACCTTAAAAGGGAAATCACCATTTTGGGCGTTCCCTTTTTGAGGCGGAGCCATGCCTATTGAAAATATCTGCGCAAACAGCTTCAAAGAGATCCGAGTCAGAAGGATTCGCAGGAAGGTCGAAGTCAAGGAACCGTGAAATCCCTTAACGACAACCTTTCAGCGCGAGTCTTGCAACATGGACGTGGTGCCATGCTAATACTTGCGAGCAATGGGCTGGCGAAAAGGGCTTGACATCCGCAGTCCTCTTGCTGCCTTCAGTTCATCATCTTTCAGCTAACTTGGAACATCTTTTGTTTTCAGCATCATTCATGCTATTCGCCAACCAGACCGAAGTACGCCTAAGCCATGTCCTCTCAGATATCAAGCGAGGTCCATCTGGGGACAGGAGCCGGGCCGTGGACTCTTGGAACCCAAAACCGGCCCCGGTGAGCCCAGAGTTCGGAAGCCTGCGATGACTCCCCTTAGCAAACCTGGGTGCCAGAAATGACATCGGTGCCTGGGTTGGTCTCTAAGGTTGGCACCCCGCAAAATGGCAGTTCTCCTTGTGGCTTCCCTTTAAAACAGACCAAACAGGGGCGCCTCAAAAAAGACAGACCCACCTGGCATGTGGGTAGCGTGTCCACGCCTTCCCATGCGTCAGCGTGATGCCCAACGTCACCTGCGCAACAAACGGATCTGATGGGCGTTTTGGGGGGCATCCCCTTCCAAACAAACGCCAGCCACTCGCTCCAAGCAAGAGTAAGGGCATGTGAGTGTGTGCCTGCGTGTGCGTGCGTGCTTCTGTTTGTGGGAGTTTGTGTATGATATGTGCCGCTGTGGATGTGTGTCTGCATAATTGTCTTTTCAGGTGCGTTTTTTGTCTTTGTGTGTGTGTACGTGCATGCGCATGCGCATGCGCATGTGCATGTGTGCACTTGCACGTGCTCGCTCCCGGGCAAGCGTGTGCGCGCGCGCGCGAACGTGCGTGCGTACGTGCGTGCGTGCGTGCGTGCGTGCGTGCGTGCGTGTGTCTTTGTGTGTCTTTTTTGTGTTTTATCCTGCTTTAGCCCACACTCATACTGAAACTCTGGTGTCAAGGTGTCCATTCATCGCATCAACGGCATCAAATGCCTGCTGTCTCAAACGCCTTGTTTTTCGAATACGAAAGGTATTCACTGCACGTCAGGATTCCACTTTTGGATTACGCCAAGGTATGGAATGCGGTTGCTGTCCCAACAAACGTTGGGTCACCGTCTACTTTCAGGTAATCACACAATGGAACTCCGACTTGCCCGGTTCACCCAGCAGTTTCTGCGGAGGCGTCAGCAAAGCAGCTTAACGAGCGGCAGACGCCTTCCAGCTACCATCTGAAGCCTCGAAACATGCGCTGAAGGCTACTTCTGTTGGCTCTTCTTCGCATCCCTTCACTAGCTTTTCCTTTCCTCCTCAGGATCGAGTCTTTGCATGTCAACGACTGCATCTCCAAAGCCCTCCCATAATCAACACAAAGCCACAGGGAAACACCTCATTACCTGGTTGTCACCATAAAGCTAGGCATTCAGTTCCATGAATCTTTCCGGGCTCCCGCAAGGGTAAAAAACGCCCTGAGCATCGAGGGAAAACCCGACCGTAGACTCTCCTTGTGAGGGGGTACTTCAAATGGTGTACCTCTTTTCTCACTTCCGGAGTGGATTGGTCAGAAAAAGTCCAAACTTCTTGTTTGCCACTAAAACGTTCTTCCAAAAAATGCATAAAGTCCGAAACGGAACTCAGGGAGAAAGTGGGTTGGTCGACAAAGGAAGGACACATTTTTGGGCAACCTATGTTGATAAACACGCCATTTGAATTGGAGATGGCGCCACATCGGCGAGCTAAGCTGAGCGCGAATTCGGTCGACTGCCCTTTGGGCAGCCGGATGGACATCTGAGTGGAAGGCTATCAGGTTCTGCGATTCCAGGCTATTCTGTGAACGAGGTATTTGAGTCACAATCAAAACCAGGTATTACAATGGTGTACCCAGAACCATGTAAAGAGCTAAGAGAGCGGCCCCAACTATTTCTGGCTGGGACTGCCCCTTACTAACCTGCATCTACCCGGGTTTTGATTGTGGATTATTTGTTGATGTTCCTTCCGAATGCACTGTTGGAGCTTGCTCTTTGGCAACGAGCAAATAGAAGCAGCTTCCAGGCTAAGCACGCGCTTGAGTGCACACTCTGCACACTCAGCCTCTCATCTGAAAACAAAACTACTCCGACACACTACGTGCATACCATGCATTTGCTTTCTACACAGAATACACGCCTTGCAACCCAACCATGCCCAATAACATGTCCTTCGCCCATGCTCACAAGCCTTCCTATAAGTAGAACTGTGCCTTGACTCACTGGCTTGTGTGTTCCAAGGTATCTCTGAACAAATTACAATGGACCAGGTTGAGCGATAGCGACCGAAGATCATATGCTCAAATCCACGCGTTTCCTGTGAGACCTGAACTATCATCCGCCAAACCTGAGCCCAGGAATGTGTTTATTATCTGCGGTGGCAAGTTGCCGGCAGCGAAACTTGCACAATAGCGATCGGCTACAACGCAATCACCTCCTCGTCTTTGCGGCTTGCCTCAGAAACGAAACTGGGCACAAAGTCATGGCAAAAACCATCAAGCGCGATCGCACAAATTGGTAAGTTCCAAAGGTTTCCCGTCAAACCAACACCGAAAAGGGTACCCTCAAACAATATACGTACGTATGGAATCCGTCTGAAGACTGCTGAAACCTGCTTGTTGTTCTTTCGTTGCGGGGGATAGCATAAGGGAGGATAGAATGCACTATCCAGTTCTTGCCTGTGTGCGACGGCCAAAGAGCTTTGGTTGGCTCACGGGACATGTCTGAAGCAATGGTTTGGGCAAGCAAATGCAGTTCCATGGCGTGTGCACAACAACATATCAGACAATCACCAGCCAACTGATTGGTATTTTTTGAGGCAACTCGTGGCTAGAAAACAACATTGAGCTGCTGTACCCGGTCCTGAGGCTCACATCCACAACTACAAACGGCAATCATCTCCACTCTATCTAGAGAAGAAAGTTGTTCTGTCTGGGGTTGCTATGAACACTCGCCGTTTTGGAGCCAAACGGTTTTTACCAAAAGGAAAGCAGGACTCGACTAAGCCAATGTTATTCTTCTGTGTTTGGCCAATTAATTGCACCTGAACGCGCCAACACAACCCTGTTCCTGACCCTTCAAAAAGCAAACTCCATGGAAAGTGTTACACGATCACAATTGCATCTTCTGGGCTTTCTGTTGTCTGCACCCGCCACAAACTATACTTGCTAGGGCTGCCAGACTCCTTGCGTATCAAAGCTTTTGGTTTCCTGTCTAAGGTTTGTCACAGCAGCGCGGCCCATTTGAAATTTGTGAGATAAGATCCAAATTCCACATGCATTCAATGGTAACATCCAGCTTAACCGATATCAGGTCACTAGCCAGCAAGTTTGTCATCAACAGATGTCGAAAGCAATGACTACGTATCGTTGTCCTACCGAGCATCCACAAAAGTTACAAGACTGGTGTGTCCCCACGCCAAAGCCCAGGCTTGTAGCCAAGAGTCGCAAGTGAACTGCTAGTACGCCGCGCAGTGTGTGATCCGTCATGGTCATGCTCTATGCCTAAAATGTCGAAAGGGTCCATGACCATGCATAGCAACCGAATAATAAGTTAACTAAGCATAGCGGCATTCACATGAGGTCTGTAGAGAAGCAACCCGGTCGTTCAGTGGATTGGTTTTGGGAAGGGTGGTTTCGCGACCTTGTCTGGGTGCTAAACTGACGTTCTTCATGGTGTTGGTTTTTGAATCGGCAAAACTGCAGCTTTTCAGCTGGTTGGTCGTAGGAGACAGTCAATCCCCCCAACAAGAAAGGTTAAAGGTTGAACCAAGTCGCAGCCAAGCTCCAATCTCATATTCAGCAGGGCGTGGACAGGGAACACTTCTTTCCGTCGGCAATAGACATGGTACTTAGCCCCCGGTGAATTGGCAAGCTAGTTCCGTAGAGTTCCTGGGGACATGCCTGGTTGGCTTGCCGACTTTGACTCTGGGAATGGATATAACCCCAAAAATCTACCCTTGAAACCACATCATTTGGGCGGAGATTCGTGTAAAACCGATCACTTTGAAGGTGGCTCCTTTCACAACATGGCCAAATGAGCTCAACGCAGATCTCTAGGGGTTCCTTCCCCATTCTTTCCAGGGATCCTTTCTTTCCAGAAAACTTCCAGAATCCCAGGGAAAACGGCTGGTTTCCGAGAAGACCGATGGTTGCAAAGAATGGACAGGGACTCAACCCGAAGATCCCCAGGCCTTTGGACCCGGATTCGACGCCGAGCACGGAACACCCCGCGCCGGGGCCGCCAAGCATCCCGGCCCGGCGCGGCGGAAGCAGCAACTGCCGCGAGTGGTGCGAGAAAAAAACGAGGAGCCAAGCTCTGGAGGAGGGAAAGCAACGGAAATGGATACCAAGAGATTCATGAAACCGGCGCTGAGCACCCATTTTTTTCCGAATCTAAACACCAAAAAGCAACAGGGCTAAGGAACCGGATGGCTGGGAGCCACCGAGTAAACCACCTAAGTCCTCCAGTACAAAGGTTGGAATAAGGGTACCCTTTTTTCTGTAGTCTATCTTAGTAGGGGAACCCTCCCAACCAAAAAAGGGGAGAGAAGGGCACTACTGAGGGACCTAGTTAAGCTTTCTGCTCCCCTGCTGAAAGACTAACTTTTAGTGGTTTGATGGAAAACCAATTAGTTGGCAAAAAGTTCAAAACATCCAAGCAAAATGTCCCAGAGAAGACGTGAATTAACAAACCAGCGCTGAGCGTAGCTGTGTCCAACAAAAAAAACAAACCAGGGCTGAGTCTAGCTGTGGCCAAAAGGCAAATGCAAAAAAATCAAGCTCCACAGATGGCACTGACCTCTGGACAGGTTCGATCGACACCCGCTGCTATCATCCCTTCTTGGGGCTTGCAGGAAAGCCACATTTCACGTGATGCGGCCAACGCGCAAGGCAAGACTTTCCGGATGCTTGCCCGTGGCTGACCGTCTGACCCTCTCTTCCGAGCATTAAGCGGTCAATCCCGCGTTGAATAGCTTCCGCAATCCCAAGACAACCCCGGTTTCCCCGGCTTGGGGAAAGCCTCTTGGCATCGTCCTTTTGAAGCCGGGCCAAGCAATTCTGAAGGCAGCACCCAAACGTGTCCCAAGTGAGCTGAAAAAAACAATCCGTAGTAAAACTCTTATCCCAAGTCGTTTTCATTGCAAATCCAAGCGGCGGTCTTCAGAAAGCATGAGGGTGCCCAATGGCATGCCCCTTTAAGTGTATGAGGTCTCATGTGTATATATATATATATACACCGCTGCAAATTTTCTGCTAACAAATTCACTCGGCAAAATTGCTGGGATCTGCAGAAAAAAGAAAATGCAAAATACAGAAATGGGCAACTCCTGCTCCAAGCAGTTTGGGGGCATCTGCGGGCTGCGCGCGACTTGCGCGGAAACTTGTTACTCTTTGGGCCATGGCGATGATGATGATGATGATGATGATGATGATGATGATGATGATGATGACGACGACGATGACGATGACGATGACGATGACGATGACGCTGATGACGCTGATGATGATGATGATGATGATGATGATGATGATGATGATGATGATGAATCATCACTGCGTCACTTGCGCTTCACTCGCGCTTTACTTGCATAGCCCCATGTTTGACTTGCGCGGCCGCTCCTGCAGCACACTCCTGCCCTGCAAATTAGAAGCGGCGGTGCAGCTGATTTGATACTTCCAAAACAACTGGGATCATGCCTTACATTGACACATACAACGGGTTTTCTTTTTCGGCTCAAGTGAGCAGCACAAAGCTGACGGCTCGATCCTAAAGGCTCCCAGTGGATCCAGCGGCACCTGGACTGGAAACCAAGGGCTCATGGGCTCTCTGGTATCCCAAGCCAGGAGGTAGCGGAAAATGGGTGTTTGCGGACGATTTCGGGATCGATGGTATGCTCAGGCGCGCGCTCGCATTGCAGCGGAAATGCCCAGGAGCATGGTTTCGCCTGGGCGTCGAGCCATGATTCCATGGGTGTCTTCTTGTTTCAGGGTACCCTTCTTGGTTGTGCTAAACCAAAGGGCAACCCAGCATTTTGGGGGCTCCCGTATGTTTGAGACAAACCTAGGTGGGATCAAACCTCATAGCTTCTTTGGGGTGGATTGAAAGGGAAAGAACTCTTTAGTAGGGTTCCATTTGGGTGGTAAATTTTAATAGATCCTTTCGATTCATGTCCACCAATAGAAGCGAACCAGCATAGCAATATTCCGATTTTCAAGTTCACCAACTGGGTCTGACTTCTTGTGAGGGAGCTCCAAAATGGCTTTGGCGTTCCTGGCGGTTTGCACAAAACATCACCACACAAGGCAACAAGGGGGTGCCAAATCCAAAAAAACAACGCCAACCCGAACAACGCCAGCAACCTCCAAAAACGCCACAAGGGGGGTTTCTCCGGGTCAACCAAAACACCGTGTCTTGGCAAAAGCTGCGAGTCGTTTTGCTTCGATCTCGGGTCGCGATGTCGCCCGAAGCCTCGGCTCCCGGCCATGTTCGGCCCCGGGGATGCGATGCACCAGCGTCTTGGGGATCTGGCCCTACGGAGCTACGGGCCGAGTAGGGCGCCCAGGGCAATGGGATTGAGGAGTGGTGACACATGGCTGTGGTTGTCAAAACCCATGGGATCCCATTTTGGCTGGTACGTGAATTCACCATTTTAGAACCTATTTTAGTGGGGATTGGGATGTTTACTGGGGGTACGGGCTTTTGACCCATGGCCACATGGAAGAGGCTGGGAGGTTCTCGAACTCGAAAAGAATCAGTAGCTGGGAGACATGCCGAGTGACCTCCCAAAGATTGTGGTCCAAATGCTTCCGTTCAGAGATATCTAGAAGGCACCATCTCAAGTTTGCGAGTGAAACATGATGGGCCAAGGGAAACGGGATGAAGATTGGTGTGATGACTCGTGCCCTTGGGTTCAAAAGGAAGCTTCTGGAGCCTGACATTGGACATCTTGCGCTAGGCTTCTTGTTGCTAGCTCTGTGCATCGGTAGTGCCCGACTTCTTTGGTTGGTATCGGCAGAATCTGCATTTGCCCCAAGAAATTCTGGTCTTCTGGAACTACCGTCAGCTTTCATATGCTTTCCCATGCCCATTCTGGGGATGGATCGTCCGGTCTAACAAGATGAAGACTCGTTGTGGGGAACACCCCAGCATGTCCGTTGACAATAACTTCCCCCGGATAACTATGAAATCCCTAACGGGGGGGGGGTGCTTGGGAGCCCGAGGGTTCCTTAGGGACTTTGGTTCTTTACAGTCCCGCAGGGAGCTTGGGGGGAGGGTCTACCCCTCCTTTGCAATATTCTCTCTTTGGGACTAATATGCCCAAGGTACTCAAAGCACTGGACAATAGTTACTTGTTTCATCTTGTTTCCCCATCTCCAAGCCAAAAGTTGGGTAGGGGTAAAGTTTAAACCACCAAAAAAACGCAAGGGTTCAATTTACCCGGGTTCTATTTTGGGATTCCCCGATTTCCACCAGTTGAATCCTTCCAGCTCAAGTCCGCTCAAATCGCCGGCATCCGTCCGGAAACCAGTCGCCTGAAGCCACTCCACACACTCTACTGGCCTCAAGTTGAGTCGCACCAAGCGCAGGCGACGTGGACCCCCTGTCGCTTGGTACATATTTCAGAGGCCCCGTGCGAACTTGAGTGAGTGAGTGGTACATATTTGAAGGGAAACCTTCACAGGAAACCGAAGAAGGAAAAAAAAGAGTCGCTCTTTGCGCACACGACCACGTGTCTTCCATGGAGCTCTTACTTTCTCTTAGGGTCCCGTGGCTCCGCCCGTCGCTCAGCTGAACTGATCATGTGTTGTTTGTTCCATTCTCGTCCCAAGGCCCAAAAAACATTTACAGCTCAGGTTTAGGATGTCATGTCCTGGTTTAGGGCTTAGGGCATTAAATGTTTCAGGTCTGTTTGCCAAGTTTGGCTTCAGGTTGCGCTGGGGCATTTGGCTTTGATGTTTCCGGCTGCTGGCCGATCGGCCCAAGCTTTGCTGGTCTAGGCTTGGCTTGAGATGATTTTAGGGCTGGATCGAAGGCCGACGTTTGGGCGCGCGCTTGGGCTTTTCGGGGATGAGTCAAGGACTTGTGATGTAGGATTTAGGACTTGGTTTAGCATGGGCGCGATCAGTTTGGCTTGGGGCTTCAGGTGTGGTTGGGGCGCAGGGTGATGATTGTGGGCTTCGGTGGGCTCAAGCGGGTGGGCTAAGCGCGTTTTTCGCAGGAACATTTGCATCGAGGGAATGTACCGTGTACATCTACCAGCCAACTATCGCGCTCCAAAGCGCCCGATGCACGTTGTAAACCAGATCTGCAACTCAACAGTAATGAGACTGACATGACATGAAGTTCCGTGCGCATGTCCAGCTAGCGGAAATAACAATCACATATTGTAAGACTCTAGCGGTTGTCATTGATCAAGTGTGTGTGTGTGTGTGTGCGGAGTGACAGAATGCCCTGTCACCACCCTTTCGGTTTCGCAGCAGGGGCGTGCAGCACCTTTGGCATACTGCACGCAATGAAGCTGTTGCCAAAGGTGGGAAGGGTGTCCAGACGTGGACACCTGTACCTGCTTCAGTGATTCTGAAAGTCCTTTTGGCCCCTTGGTTGCGGCGCTGTTTGTGCTTCTTGTTCTTTCTGGTACGTTTTCGACACTAGAGGGAAGCCGAATACATTGCGAGCCGAAACTCATCATACTCGAGACTTATCGGTTGTACTCGAGACTCATCAGTTGTACTCGAAAGATTAGCACTCTCCATCTGGAGTTCAAGTGTGTACACCCCATTCGTGGGGAATCCTCGGGTGTACCCATTGTGTGACCCCGGGCCGGCTCTGTCGGAAAATTTGACCTCAACGTGCGTATCATAGAACAGCGGAATTTCACATTTAATCAGGAACGAGGTTTCACTAAAGGGAAGAAAGCCGTCAGTTCATAGTGACGTCTCACCACAGTTGATAGCTGCCGATTTTCATTGCCTACCCTGACCATTGGTTGAACTTGTTGCTCGTATCATTGCGGTTGTCGATTGCTGACTTGTATTTGCTTTGCCTTGTACATTTCGCTCGACCATTGCAGTTGAGGGCCGCTGACTTGCATTTGCATGGATTTGAATATTGTCGGGTCTGATTCTCTCAAGGTGGAAGTGTGCAAACTCCGATCTAGTTGCGTCACCATGTCTCGACGTGATGATCGTGATAGATCCAGGACTCGACGCAGACGTGATCGGAGTCCGTCCCCTCAAGCTCACAAAGCACGCCGACGTGACCACAATGACAACCAGGTCTCGGAGAACATGGATTGGAACAACTTGGTTTCATGGCAACACAACTCCGGCTACAATGCTGCTAACAACTTTCCGATGGTGCCTACCAATTTTCAATCGACTCACAACCCCACACAGCAATTCCAATACCCGGCGATCAACTACATGATGCCGATCCCTCCTGATCCCACACCATCCAAGTTCATGCCACCAATGATGCCACCACCGGTCACTACTTCCCAACCTACCCCTTCACCTGGACCTCCTGCAGCTCTACCGGTTCGTCCTCAGAAAGCCTGGCTTACTCCCTCGCCTGACTGGACACCTGCAGACGGCATGTTTGATGTCAATCAACTCTACAACTTCAGCCTGCCCATGACTGTTGCCAACACTCCACATGGCAACCTTCGCGACATGTCAGGCATGGATATTAGGGACGTACGCCTGGTTCAGGTTATCCACGGGGGCCTCACCAACTGGCTGCTCAGGCCGTTTGCACACGGCCGATTCGTGACGTGGGAAGGCTTTCGCACCCGCACTGAAGCCTTACTTTGGAGTACCTGCTCCAAATTACTACGAAGATCGCAGTCACTCAACCTGCTCACCCTGGAAAAGGACCTTGCCAACACGCTGGGTCTCAACATTGATGACTTCAATCAGCGCATCAAAGTCCACGACCATTTGGCCAACCTGGTACTTCAATTTCTTCAACAACATCACACCTCTCTCGCACCTGCTGCCCAGACCGATGACATGGTCAAGAAGTTCAATGACTTGAATCGTGCACATGAACTTCTCCAGGCTCAGTATTCCGCATCACTTCGCGCATCGACCTCGCCCACGATGACAAACCAGAAAGATGACGCAGAGTTGGTTACACCGCCACCGGTCAACCACACACCATCCTCGTCACCTGCCAGCTCCCTGCCCACAGCCAGCGCGGCCGCCCTGGATGGCAAGTCGTTTGATAGCGTGGTGCAACCTCGGATCATGCAGTCTCTTCACGGAGTGTCGTCACCGCCGTCCAAACCGGCGGCGTCACAATTGCTCACCATGCACAGCACGCCGGATGAAGTTGTCAAGTACTACACATGGACCAGTGACCAACCTCGCCTTTTCCTCAAGCAAGCACCCACAACAACCACTTTGGCGTCGCTGGTTAAGTGGGCCAATCACCCGTCCCGGCTCAACGGCAACAAGTCGTTAGATTCTATGGCGACGCAGCTTCTTCAGGCCAGGCAGCGCATGCCGAAGGGCGATGCGCCCACACTCGGTGCAATGGCAGCACTATGGGGTCTTGAACCCGGGTACCTTACCAAACTCACCGAGAAGGCATTGAGTCACCTCATCGTGACCGCTCGCCTGCTTTGTGGATGAGAAGGCATCATATCGACCTTCGTTCTCATATGAGCCCGGAGCGGCAACAATGTCACGGATGAGTCCAGGTGAAAACTCGTCCGTCAAGTGTTTGCGTTGCACATGATTGATCTTGTACTTGCTTGTTCTTGCATTGCCTCTTGTGTGATTGTCTGTGATGCTTGTATCCATGTCGCCGCCTTGTGGTAGATTTCGTTGGTTGCATCTCACCATGTTGGATGAACTTCGCCACTGCGGAATCTATGATGATGTTGCACAATGGCAGTCGCTGGACGACCTTCTGCACTCGTTGACTACATTCTCGACGTGCTGGCATTATTGTTTCCCTGGACTACCACCACCGTCGATTCCAATTGAGGAGTACGAATCCATCACACAATTGCCGTGGCTGGGTCTCATCCTCGAGGTCTTAGTTGTGGTCCGGATAGCCCTCCAGATTCCGAATTGCGCTATGTCGAACTCTCAGCACACCGTGGCCAACAGGTACGAACTTCACAGATGTCGGTGCGCTGCCTATTTATTGATCAGTTTCTTACAACGTCTCATTTCACAGGATCACGGCTACATCCCGCCGTTCTTCGAAGTCCTTCACTTCTACAAGACTTCTCTCTTGTGTGAAATCATGCACTCAGCTTTCGCTGACACGCGACATCTACGCTCATTGCGGGCGCGATTTCCTGACCTCTACGACTTCATACATGATCCAGGTCATCACCAACAACCGTGCGTCTATATTCGACTTTCCCCATGGCACACACCATACTATGTTGGGGCGACTGATCAGGATGTTCTACGTCGTGAACACTCACGCAGTCGCAAATTTCTACAACTACTTCGTGGACGGCATGCCTTCTTTGAACCGGCGCTTCACTACTGGAAGCGATCCAATACTTACTGGCTCTTCTGTGCTGTACCAGTGGAAATCAAACTTCCAGTTTCCTCGGTGTGGGTTCAAGAAAGCAAATGGCAATACCTGCTACGCCCGCATTTGAATGCGCCCTGGGTGCACAGAATCTTGCGCAAGGTGGGCTTCCGGGAACATCTTGTAGATTTTCGACGCCACTCGTTGTCGTCGCCCACTTTCCTCGGCTTGCACAAGCGCTTTCGACGACGACTACATCCGGATCTCCAACGGCAACTACGACCTGACGCCCTGGATGACATTCAAGCCCACTACTCGATCCTCTATCAGCTGGGATCGAATACAGGAGCGTCGTTCCAAGTCATGCGTGACCTACTGTCAGCCGCTTTCCCTCCCACTCAGCTGTACTACTTATTGCGGCTCGCAGTATTTGTCAACGAGCCCTTCCGCTCCAAGGCCCAGAAGCTCCTCGCCCAGGTACTACGCAAACGACGGCTACAACCACCCACCACTTTAACACAGCTACTTTTGCCGCCGCTGCATGTCCAAAATTGGAAAGCTCTACTGGGCACATGGTTACAAAGCTGGATTGCTTCTCATCGGGATCTGTTCCCTTCTCTTTTCCTTCCAAAGATCCGGGTTGTGGAAACTCGCAGCGCCACATTGGGCGACAAGATATACAACTATCGCACATGGCAGCGCAAATGGGCGCCTGACACATCCTTTCCGTGTCGCTGTTTGGACATCGATGATAGCCATCTACACCGTGCACATGGTCACGCAGTAATGTTGGATGAGTTTTCTCGCATCAGTGCGGACATTAACATTGAAATCATGACCGCCTCAATGAAGGATCAGTTTTTCGGTGATGTCGACTTATTGCATCAACGTTTCACCACACAACTTCGCAAACTTGCTCGGCGCTGGCATGTACATGGTTCCGGTCTGCTTTCAGATCTACAGCCAGTTGTGTCTCAGCTAATGGATACTCATCGGATTAACCTTCAAGATCGGGCTTATTGGTCATCGACATCGTTGCAACGCACTGTGGCTTCTTTGTCTTC